TGGGGTGGGTTGCCATCTAGGAGATATAAATTGGTTGCGACCATCTTTAGGAATTCCCAGTCATTCCTTAATACACCTATTTCAAATCCTACAAGGAGACTCTGATTTAAATAGCCCCCTGGTACTAACAGAACAGGCTAAACAGGAATTGGATCTTGTAAATCAAGCTATCCAGCAAAGACAACTTAAACAAGTAGATCTGACTGTGCCAATTTCTTTACTTATTCTTCCTACTTTAGATTCCCCTACAGGAATATTATGGCAACCACAGGGTATCCTTGATTTTTATCCCACACTCCTAAGAAAATAATGACTACTTAACATAATGCTTATTTCCTTTCTTATTTCAAAAATGAGATCCAGATGTATACAACTTTTCTGGTTATTATCAGTATGAAATTGTTCTTCCTTTCACTAATGATCAAATCTATAGATTATTTGTTACCAGTATGGATTGGCAAATTGCCATTGCTGATTTCATAGTTGAGGTTCATAACCATTTTCTAAAGTCACCTTTGATTACTATTGCTGCTAAACACAAATGGATAATTCCTATTATTACTAAAACAATTCCTCTTACTAATGCCCCCGTGTACTTTACTGACACAAATAAAACTCTCAAAGCCGGTTATACTGGACCCAGAATAAAAGTTTGGCAAGCTAGCCTAGCCTCTGTTCAACAAGATGAATTAGAGGCTATTGCTATCTTATTACAGGATGTTTCTACAGCATTAAATATTATATCAGATTCTCAATATGCTGTACGGATAACACAAATTATTAAAACCATGTCTCTACCAAAGGCTTCTTCTAAATCATCTATTATTATCATATTATCTCAATTACAAAATATAGTAAGGCTTTGTTCTGCCCCTTTTTACATTACACATATCAGATCTCATTCTAATGTGCCCAGACCATTGGCAAAGGGCAATGATTCTATGGACTCTTTGCTAATTGCATTTCTTACTCCTTATAAATTTCATCAACTCACACATTCAAATACACTGTCTTGATGAATAAATTTCAATCATCCAGACAAGGAACCCGAAACACTGTTTCTGCCTGCCCTTCATGTACTCTTACTCACCATGTTCCTACAACTACAGGCGTTAATGCCAGAGGCCATTATCCCAACGATATTTAACAGACTGATGTTACTCACGTCCCTTCTTTTGGACGTTTGGGAGCTGTTCATGTTCCCATGGATACTTATTCGGGCATGACTTCTGCTTCTGCTCATTCTGGAGAAACACCTGCTCATGTTATCTCACATTGTTTGGAAGCCTTTTCTTACATGGTCTTATCAAAATATGTTAAAACCGATAATGGCCCTGCATACGTGAGTCATGGTCTTGCAATGTTTTTATCTGACTGGGATATTTCTCATTCTACAGGCATTCTATATAATTCTCAAGGCCAAGCTATTATTGAACATGCTCATCGTACCCTAAAAAATGTTATTTTAACAGAAAGGGGGGAAAAGTATGGCATATTGATGACACCAAAAGAGAAATTAGCCCAAGCTTTATTTATTTTAGATTTTTTTGGATTTACAATTGGATCACACAACGCCAGCAGCAACACTGCATTTTCAGAACACCATTCTTAGTGAAAATTATACTCCTGGTCAAATGATTGCGGATAATACTCCGGTATGGTGAAAAAATGCTATGAACAACTGGTGTAACGGCCTTAGACTTAAGAAAGGACAAGGTTATGCTCTTGTCATTTCAGATGACAGACAACACCATTGGATACCAGGAAGGCACGTCAAAGTAAGGGAAGACAGGACATGGTTCAACATCGATCCTCCCGGAGAGCCGCCAGTGATGGGGATAACAAGACTGACGGTCAGCAATCACTCCGAACCGGCTCCAAGGACCAACAAAGCTTACCTGGGGACAATTGAAGAAAGTGACCACTGAAAGGGAAAAATTGGTCAAAGAACAGGGACAGCCTTTGACCTCGGCTACCTTGTTCTTGGCTATGTTATCTGTGGTAATTACCACGTAGGTGCCAATCATACTTATTGGGCATATGTACCCAATCCTCCCCTATTAAGACCAATTACGTGGGAGAATTCTTCTGTTCCAGTTTTCATAAATGATTCTTCTTGGTTACCTGGAACTTTTGACCCGAGCCTTCCTTTAAAACCAGAGGAAGAGGACCGACAACTTTCAAATGTTAGTGTTAATTATACTGTGGGAACAGATCTTACTCCTATAAGTATGGGAGCAGAAACTCATTGTCTTAAAAGAGGATTACAAAGTTGGCTCTCTATAGTTAAAGAATCTCAAGTGAACAAAACTCACTGTTTCTTATTAGAGGCATTTTCCTTTAATATCACAGGAGAAAATACTACTATGTTTCTGCCCCATCTACCTAACTGTGTTATTTCTATAAAATATGGACTAGGACATTGGGTACAATGGAAATTATGTAATGCTAATACTGGACATATTATGGCCAATACTTCTGATGGAGAAATTATTGATTGGAGCCCCAAAGGAGATCCTTTGGATAAAAATAATAATTTGGATTTGCCTATATTGTTAAACAATATTTTTGACTCCATGAATAACATTGTTAATAGTTCTATATATTGGCATGGAGGGAGTTTCTCCCCTCCCTTACCTTAATTACCTTATATGCCTTTACAATCAGAATTGTGGAAAATATCAGCTGTCTTCCAACCCATAATAGCATAGAAGGGGTAATTTAATTCAACAATAGCCAGTCATTTCTTACATTTTGATAAAAATTCAACCCATTGGATTAAAGGATTTGTTCGTTTACCTTTTGTATTTTTGATAGGACCTACTTTTTATAATGCCTCTTCTGGGTTACTTACTTGTCAAAATTGTTCCTTCTTCACTTGTATCAATTCTTATCTCCAATTTCAGAATGATTATCCTCTACATATTCTAAAAACCAGATCTGGAGTATGGCTTCCTGTAAAAATGAATAGACCATGGCAGGATAGCCCTAGAGTCTATATTGTAGAAGAAATCCTTAAGAAAGTGTTAAAACACACTAAACGGTTTGTTGGACTGTTAATTGCTACCATTTTAGGAATTATTGCTATAGCTACTATAGCAGCTGTAGCAGGAGTGGCATTACATCAGAGTGTATAGACTGCACTTTGTGCAGGAATGGCATAAAGATTCTGATGTTCTTTGGTATGCCCAAAGGCAAATAGATGGAAAATTAGCTGCACAAATGGCTGATTTACAACAGGTTGTTCTACTACAAGGTGATCAAGTAAATAGTCTGCAAAAGCAGATCCGTCTTAAGTGTGATTGGAACATTATTTCCTTTTGTGTCACTCCTCACAAATATAATGAATCTTCATTTCATTGGAAACAAGTTAAACAATACCTCTTAAATCAAGGTAATCTATCTCTGGATAGTAATAATTTACAGCAAGAGATTATGGAAACTTTCTCTCAGAAACTACATCTTTTGCAAAGCTCTAATCTGCAGGAAGCAGCAGCAGATGGGATTTCTCAATTAAATCCCATTCCTCACTTGAAAACTATCAGAGGATCAATTGCTGGTTTTATGTTCATTTTTATATGTCTTTTTTTCTGTCTCTACATAGTCTGGAGACAAATCACCAAGAAAATCAACAGACAACAACAGCAATTAGCGACTATTGCTTTGGCTTCTATAATCATCAAAAATAAGCTTCTAAAAATAAAAAAGGGGGATATGTAGGGAATATGCTATGCACAGGCCTGTACTATAATTAACAGGGCTTCTTTGAAAAATCAGAATGACTTTCTCATCACTCCCAGGTGAAGGGCTGGGAGCAGAAAAAGTACAACGTGGAAAAACATCTTGAAAACAAGATGTTGAAGTACTGATGTGACTGATGGAAAACCATTAGTGACTGTTCTCATGACCAGAGCCTTGAGGGAGTTGCTGAGAAAAGTCGTCACTAGTTGATGGGCTAAACAGAGTCATGAAAGGCCTGAAGCTGTGACATTGAGGACTGTGCATTGTATATCCTTATCCCCAATCTGAGATTATAAAAAACAGATATCTCTAGAGCAAGTACAAGGAAGTAGATGTTAGCAATAAAAAGCATGCAAGGATTAGGATCTGGGCTTTTGCCTGCAAATGGCTTCAGCCCCCTGATTCCCACTTTATTTCTGAGTCTTGTTTTTCTTTATTCTTCTGCGGCACCGCTCCCTCAGGTCGGTTTGTTGTTGGGCTGGTCCCAACACTGTTGAACCTGTCCCCCCCAACAAGAGCAGCCACCGCCACGAGAAGCAACCAGAGAGTAGCCCCTGCTCACTTCAACAGAAAAAGCCCGCCTAGCAACAAAGACCCAGCGCAGCCAAAAACTAATCAATAAATGAAACCGTAAAAAACAAAAACCTGTAGGGCTCTGGCCTGCTGTGGTCCAAAGCTTGGTAAAGGACCCACACTCAGGCTGTCTGGGTCCCAGGCCTTTCTCAGGTTGCAATGGAGCTACCCCTGCAGAAAGATGCCCGTGCAGCCTGCTGACCCCCCGAGGAGGACTTCCCAGCACCCCAAAGCTCCTCCAGGTGGGCAGTCCCTCTTGGCCCGAGCCTGGCTGCCCCTACTCCTTGCCCAGGGCATGCCAAACATGAAGGAGGTTGGCCAGCCTGAGCAGGGATGCAGCCAGCTGAGGATGGAGGCGTCTCAGTTCTGCTATTTGAGGAACCAAGAAATGTCCCCTGTGAAAGGAGAAGTGTGTCATGGCCCCCAGACACACACACCCCACCTCTGTCCCCAGCAGAGTGCCCATTCTCTGGAAAGCCACAAACATTCCAAGACTGGATTTCTGCTGAATCATCTTGAATTCTTTGAACTCCACGGGTCTAGGGAAGGATGTGGGTGCGGGGATCAGAGGCGGGGCAAGATCCCCAAAGAGGTTAAATAGGTCACCTCCACCCTTGGAGTTCACCCTGGACTCCCCTGAGCAGAGGGACCCACACGCAGAGATCTTCTCCCCGGCTCCTGGCACCATGGCCCCCCTGAAGACGCTGTTCCTGGTCGCCCTCCTCCTGGGGGCTCTCCTGCAGGACACCCACGCAGGTGAGAGCAGATGAGAGACACAGGAGGAAGGGACACTGCGTAAGGAGGGGCAGGGCTGCCAAGACCACAGCAACTGCACACGCACGTTATTCCTGCACCCCACTCACTCCTACAAAGGTGTGAGAGGCTGGCAGCAATAGGATTTGGAGGGAGGCGTTCAAAGGAAAATAATGATGATGAAGAGGAGGAGGAGGAGGAGGAATGTCCCAGGACTTGGGGCTCAGCTTCTGAGGAAAGAATTGCTTGCACATCTCCCCCCTGCACATGTCATGAGGCAGTGACTGTGATTGTGTTTTGACAGTGGACAAGAAGCAATTCTCGCAAGTATTTGTTAACAGTGTGTTTATTTAACAGGTTTTTATATACAATGAGGGGCTTCCCTGGTAGCTCAGCTGGTAAAGAATCTACCTGCAATGCAGGAGACCCCGGCTTGATTCCTGGGTTGGGAAGATCCCCTGGAGAAGGAATAGGAAAACTCCAGTTTTCATGGGCTTCCCTGGTGGCCCAGATGGTAGAGAATCCGCCTGCAATGCGGGAAACTTGGGCTGGGAAGATGCCCTGGAGAAGGGTATGGCAACCCACTCTAGTATTCCTGCCAGAAGAAGCCCCATGGACAGAGGGGCCTGGCAGGGCTACAGTCCATGGGGTGTCAAAGAGTTGGACACAACTGAGCGACTAAACACAGCACAGCATATACAATGAGAGGGCTGGCATAAAGAAAGGCAGGAGCACACGACCCCAGAGCAGGTGAAAAAAAGAGATTTTTATACTCAGTTGGGAAAGGAAGGCTGAGCTAAGATTGCTATTTTAGAGAAACAAAGCTGGTTAGCACCCTGTGTGGTGACACAGTGACAGGGCCGCAGTCTTCAGGGCTAGCTTAATGGGGCGATCTTCAGTTGGCTACATGTCTCACTTTTGTAAAAGTCTGGGCCTGGCCAGCTCCGTGTCAGTCAAACCAAGTTCCACCCCCAAGACAGTGAGAGGACACTCCAAGTTTTCTTAGAAAACACCTTGTGGTGGTCTGAATTGAAGTCACAGATCATCTGTTGGCCGGTTTGCAGATGCTGGATATTTTTTCTTGTGCAAAGATGAGGACACTGAGCCCTGGGAACATGTGTTCACACCCGGGCCTCCACTTTCTCATCTGTAGAATGGGGTAGTGACAGCACCTGTCTCCAGGTATACTTGAGGACTGAAGGAGCTGCAGCAGAGGGTCAGCCCAGAGCCTGGTCCAGAGTCAACGTCTGGTGATTCGGGGCTGGGCTGAGTGAGAGCACATGGATGCACACACATGCAGACACACACATACATACGCAGACTCCCCACGCACACACAGATCCACATGTGCACACAGATCTCCACACCCAATGTGCACACGCACAAAGACGCACACACACGCATGTGTACACAAATCCTCTCAAACACACATAGACATGTGCACAGACAGACACACAAACACCGCAGGGCCCCTCAAGCACACACACGATCTCATGCCCACAAACGTGCACACTCTGACACACACTCACACACAGAGACACAGGTGCAGACCCCTCACATACTCCCTCACACAGAAACACGATCACAGAGCCCCCCGAGGAGACCCCTCCCAGACACACACATGCAGAAATGCACACGCAAGGACCCACACGATACCACATACACACACACTAACACAGACACACACACACTCAGACTCCTCACTACACAGACACACACACATGTGCTGGCCCTCACAGACCCTCCCCAAGCAGACATGCGCACATACGTATATATGTGTATACGTGTTCCTGCTTGCCTTCCCCGCAGCCCGAGCAGGCAACGTGGGCCGGGAGTGCTGCCTGCAGTTCTACAAAGGATCCATTCCCGGCAAGCTGTTGGTGGATTGGTACAAGACCCCGGACGATTGTCCCAACAAAGCCATTGTGTAAGTCTGCCCCTGCAGCTCCCCTCTGCCCTCTTTCTTACCCCAGGAGACGAACGTGGGAGGAGGCAGACCCCGGAGCTCCCGGAAGGGCCACTGCAGAGGGGAGAGGTCATTCTCGGGCCTTCATCTCTTGTCGCCCTGGTTCTGCTCCTCAGGGCTGCTCCCACTCCACTCTCCGTGAACCCCCAAAGGACCTCAGGCTGTGAAGTCTAAGCTCTTCATACATTTATGAGGAAACGGAGGCCCTGAGAGACATGGGACAGCCCCATGCACAGGGGCAGTCAGCGCCCCACTTGGTCACCTCTGCGGCCTGGGCCTGAGCCCTGAGCCCCTCCTGCGCACCCCTCGTCCCCAGGGTTACGTGGGTGCAGATGGTCTGAGGTGGGGAGCAAAGCCGTGCAGCCCTGGCTCCCTGAAAGGGTCGGGTATCACTGAGGACAGTGCCTGGGTCCCAGAACTGCAGCTGCCACCCTGGGTGACTTCGGGCGAGTTCCAGCCCCTCTTGGGGGCTGGGTCCTGGTCATCACAGGGCAAGGCTGTGCCAGGACTCCAGAAGGCCTCCCTTGTGTTCTTCCTCCGTGTAGGCTGGTGACTCGCCATGGCAAAAACATTTGTGCAAACTCCAAGGACAAAAATGTGAAGAGAGCAATGAGGTACTTCCAGAAACACAGGAAGTCACCTGATCTGGCCGCCTAGTAGTCCTGACCTCTCCCTGGACCTCTTGTAGACCTCCTGTCTCAATGTTCATGACCCCAACCCCCAGCTCCTGGAGCCAGAGGAGGCCCTACAAGGACAAAGAGGCCCCTTGTCCCCTTTTCTGATTAAAGTCTTTCTCCCCCAGTCTGGGTTCAGCGTGTTCTGTCCACCCTGGCCTGTCGCCCTGGAAGGGCCCTCCAAGAACTAGTCTCACCCTGTTCATGTTAGAGGGGGAAGCTGAAGCTTCGAGGGCAGACCACCCTCAGGGAGAGATGCGGGCCGGGGTGGGGCTGAGGGATGGGGGATGAGCAGGGCAGGGGTGACGAGAGGCCGGTTGCCCCTCCCCTCTGCGGCATGTGAGCAGGAAGAAGCCCTGCGAAGTGACTTCCAGCTCGCCTCCCATCTGATCGGCCCCGGCATCCTCCCAGGCCCGCCTCATTCTCTTCCGTGACGCCACCTGCTGATGCGGAGCTGAGGACACACTTCCCCTTAAGCATCTGATCCCAGTTCCACGAATGTTTCCAGGATTCTTTCCAGGCAGGCTGGGGTTCTGCCAAGTACTGGGGAGCTCCCTGGTGCCAGGGACTCCTGCAGCCCCTTCTCCATCTTGCCTACCTCTCAGCCCCCCAACCACATTGCAGCCCAGGCAGTCCCAGAGGGTCTTTGTAAGCCCAACTGCGCCCCTCTCTCCTGGCTCCAACTCCAGGCCGGCTCCCAAGGCTGGAGTTACTCCTTGTCCCGGGTGCCCCGCCCCAGCCTCACCCTTGCACCCACTCATCCCCATGGCCCCCAGCCCTCATCTCCCACCCTGATCAGGCTGCTTCCTGCATGGTCCCGTGATTCCTGCTGACCTGAAGGTGAGCCCCTCCCTACCAGGTGACATCACACCCAGCCTCAGCCCAAGCCAGTCTGTGGGAGGCCATCCTGGCTGCCACCCCTCCCGCCTCTCCTGCTCTTAGGGACAGTAGGGCAACCCATGGGGGTTGTTTTCCTGTTGACTCCTGTGAGGGTCTGTAGTCCTGATCCCTCCATCATATTGGGAGCTCAGTGAGTCCCCCTAGAGAATCCACATCCCATGTGCTCAGAAGGATGGAGAAGGATCCATCCCCAAACCCCTCTGTCCAGGCCCAGCCGAGGACTGGAGTCATGGGGAATGGACAGAAGTTAGGATCTTCAGATTCTAGATCTGTCTCACTCTCCTCACCAGCTGTGGGCCTATGGCTTCTCTCTCTGGGGCGAAGTCTAGGGACAGGGGCACTGCGTCCTTCTCTCCTGGAATTCGGTTTTATTTGGCTGGGCTGCAAATGAGAGTTCTTTTCAGGCAAAGTTTATGCCTTCTGCTGTCCCCTTGTGGCCAGCCGTTTTATCGACAGGCAGGTATCAGAGCCAAGGCAACTTTGAGGATGGTCACGAATAAGTGATGATGATGATAAGGTTGATGATGGTGGTGAATTATCTTATCCGTGACCCCAGGGTCTTCTCAGCCACAGGTGGGCTCTTTCTCTGCCCCTGGTCCCAAAGAGTATCCCTCAAACAATCACCTCTGATCCAGAGTCTTTGGGGGCAGCCCAGTCTGAGTCCTTTGTGGGAAAATGTCGTCTGGATCCACAGTGTAAGGAGTGGGGAAAAGATGATCTTGAAATGAGGGGAGGCAAGGAGGAGCCCCTGGGACAGCAAGGAAGAACAAGGGCTGAGCCTAGACCTCCTCATCCTGCAAGAAAGATACTCAGGGAATTCCCTGATGGTCCAGTGGTTAGCTCTTGGTGCTTTTGCTGCTGTGGGCCTGGGTTCAATGGTTGGTCAGAGAACTAAGATCTTGCTAAACCATGCAGCACAGATGAAAAAAAAAAAGAAGAGAGAGACACTCAGAGATCATGCATGTAATCACAGTGCGTTGCAAACTCGCCTTAAAAGAATAAGAACTTTTTTTCCTAGTGAAATCTTCCTAGAGGCCCTTATTGTGAACTTGGATAAGTAGAGAACTATGAACAGGTAAGGGGGGTACTGAGGGTCACAGAGCAAGGGGTTGGGTGGCTTAAAGCTCCCTCAGTGGAGGAGAGGTGGAGACAGGACTGGTAACAACACGCAGGATTTGGAATCCAAGTGTTTACTAGCAGGGTCGGGTGCAAGATGGGTGGGGGAAGAGGCAGGAGATGGAGCCAGCCACGATGTCCCCACCCCCACCCCCGGGGAAGAAGCCGTTTTAAGGAATCATGACAGGGAGACTCGCCCAAAAGTAGGGAGGCAGGAAGCAAGAGGACAGGGCAGGGGCCAGAGAACACGGAACAGTTGGGAGGTGCAGTGGCCTCTCATTGCTTCTTCCACCTGGAAGGTGCATCGTCTCTTCCACATCTGAAATCCAGCCCCCCTTCTGAGCTCAGCTCAAACGCTGCCTCCCTCAGGAAGCCCTCCCTGATCTCCTTGGTTGCAGTTGATGCCCCACTCTGCGTCCTCCTCCAGCTTCCTGCTTTCGCTTTACCACACTGTCCCCGGTATTGTTACTTGCCTGTTTGATTCCCTGATGAGCTCCTTGGGGCAGGTATTTCTGACAAGCAACCCGGTACTTCCTGATTCATTCATGAGAGGGGGGAAGTCCTTTGTGCATAGTGGACATTTGAGATATATATTTTCATCAACAAGCCCCCGTGTGAATCCCATGAGGAGCACGTCAAGAAAGAAGCTCCCAGAGGAGCGGTGCCGGGATAAGGTAACTGCGCTTCAGTCGCGGCATTGACGTGGAATTCACAATTGCCCTGCTCTGCGGTTGCCCATCAGAGGGCGCTCCAGCTCTCAATAAAGATGGACGTGCCTGATCACCCGGGCCCTGGCCTCAGCGCGGTCCCCAGGGGCTGAAGTCACCCACGTCGGATTGTAGCTGCTCAAGGCCTCGGGTCAGCGTGTCTGTGGCTGGCCAGCTCTTTTCCTGAGGGCGCTGGGCAGGGAAACACTGCCAGGGGTTAACAGGATGAAAAAGAAGATGGAAAACCACTGTTAGGAATTGCAGAGCCACTAATTCCAGATGTGGCGTAGGCAGTGCTGAGAGCACTGAGCTAGGGGCTTTTACACCGTGTTTTTTTAGATTCTGAATTTGTCTATTTGGCATACATTTGTTACAAGTTACACCTCCCCTGTGATCTGGCTCTCGAAAGGACGCAAAAATCATACTGCAAACTCTTCAACCAATCCCGAGTCCCCCCAGCCACCTCCTTTGTATAACTCACTTCCCAAACCACTATTTCCCTAAATCACCAAGTGCTGGGTACCAGACCATGAGGGACAGCGCCCGCGCTCCAAAACCCGCAGTCACGACTCCCACAGTCCGGCCCTAAATCGGTGCCCCACCCCTGCCTTGCTTTTTCCGTGGAAACCCAATGAGGGCTGTGTCCTCGGTATTCCCCACGCTTCTCCTTCTCCCCTGTGTGGGCTGGCATGGCCCCTCCTCTTGGGAGAGGTAAGTAATAATGACATTGAGTCACCTACATACATTTAAATCCCGTGAGTACATTTTATTTATTTATTTTTATTGAAGTATAGTTGATTTATAATGTTGTGTTACTTTCCGCTGTTCAGTAAAGTGACTGTTATTTATACATGTGTGTGTATATATATATATATATAATATACACATATTCTTTTTTATTCTATTCTTTTCCATTATGGTTTATTCCAGGACAATGAATATAGTTCCCTGTGCTGCACAGTAGGACCCTGTTATCCATCTATTTTATTTGTAACAATTTGCATCTACTAACCCCAAACTCCCAGCCCATCCCTTTCCCACCTCTTCTTCTCCTTGGCAACCACAAGTCTGTTCTCTGTGCCTGTTTCTGCTTCATAGATAGGTTTATTTTTGTCGTATTTTAGATTCCACATGTAAGTGATATCGAATGGTCTTTGTCTTTCTCTTTCTACCTCTTCTTCTCCTTGGCAACCACGAGTCTGTTCTCTGTGCCTGTTTCTGCTTCATAGATAGGTTTATTTTTGTCGTATTTTAGATTCCACATGTAAGTGATGTCAAATGGCCTTTGTCTTTCTGACTTACTTCACTTAGTATGATAATCTCTAGTTGCATCCATGTTGCTGCAAATGGCAATATTTTATTCTTTTTTATGGCTAAGTAACATTCCACTGTACATTTATAATCTTTATTCATTCCTCTGTTGATGGACATTTAGGTTCCTTCCATGTCTTGGCTATTGTGAATAATGCTGCTATAAACATAGGGGTGCATCTATCTTTTTGAATTTATAGTTTTATCCAGATATATGGCCATCCTCCCATCAGCTTCCAGAGACGTGTTTATTCCTGAGTTTAGTGTTTATTGTTCTCGATTTTGTTTCATTTGTCACATGTGTGTATATACATAATACACGTGCACATGTGTGTATTCCTAATGATATATTGATGTATCATGTATGTTTTTCAACTCCTGAACTTTATGTAAATGTAGCACATCTCATACACGTGCTCCTCTGTGACTTGCTCATGGAGCTTTTGTGGCTGCATGTTCTCTTCCCACTGACGTGACTCATCTTTTTCTCCCACGTGATGACCAACCCTTCACCCACTTGTTTGGTAACCACTTGGATTATTTCCAGGTTCTTGCTATTACAAATAGTACTGCTTTAAACATTTTTTGGCTTGTCTTCTGGTACAGGTGTCAAAGAATTTCTCTAGGGCAGTGGTTCTGGGGGACAGTTACCTGGGGAAGCTTGGCCAAAATGGACCGCCTACAGTCCTATTCCAAAAAACTGACTTAGTCTTTGGAAAGGGAGGATTCCGGGCAATGGTGTTTTTGTTGTTTTTTGGAGGTGGAAGGCTACCCAGGTGATTCTAATATAGGGCCATTATTAAAACTGATAGGGCTTCCCAAGTGGCACAGGTGGTAAAGAATCCACAACCGGTGCAGGAGACATAAGAGACTCTGGTTCGATCCCTGGGTCTGGAAGATCCCCTGGAATAGGAAATAGGAGCCTGGAGGGCTACAGTCCATGGGGTTGCAAAGAGTTGGACACGACAGAGCAACTGAGCACACACCTTGAAACTGACACTCTGGGGGTAACGGCCTAAACCAGCTCCAGCAGCCTTGATGAAAAGTCCCCACCTGGCCGAGCCCGCGCCCATACTTGGTAGCTGATCCATGTGTCGCTTCCCCTCCCCCCCACAGGAAGCAGGCGGCTGTAGGTGGATCGCAAAGCTAGGTCTCTGATCTCCTGCCAACAACCGGAGCTGGCCAGGGGTGCTCCGTGGGGTGCTTGCTTGCACAGGAAAGCCCCTGCTTGATGTTGAAACTCAAGTGCAGCCTTCAGTGTGGAGCAGGTCTGGGCCCTCACTTGCTCTCTTCCTCCCACTCTCCAGCTCCGAAGGCCCTGCCTTCAGCACCCTTCCAGCTCTCTTGTGGTTCCCCTTGTGGTTCCTTTCGGCTGTGTCTTAACCCCAAGGAAGGTGTGGTTTGCTCGGCTGCCCACACCACTAGATGCTTTAAAGTGATTTCAAAGAAAAGGGGAACGCCCCAACTGTTTGCTGTCAGATTTTGGAGATGACCTTAGAAGGAGTTCACTGAAAAATGATTCCCCAGCACCACTCAGGCCCACTGACAAAATGTCCAAGGACCTGGGTCACCTTTACCTTTAAAGGTCATCAGGTGATTGATGGTCGTAGCTTATTCTCTGGGTCTCACCCAGTCTCCAAATGTAAATTGTGGTTTTCAATGATATCTGAGACTGTTTTGGCTCCAAAACCTCCCCTCAGAGCTGCTATTTTCTAAAGTCCACAGGTGTGAGGACCCATGTACCTTCCGTGGACTCACTGAGCCGAGTGGCATCTGGGCACTGAGGCCACGTGGGCACTGCTGGCCAGCCAGGCCGCTCTGCAGCATGTTGCCCCAACTCTGAGCCCTCATGTGGAGCAACCCAGTAGTGCTGGCCTGCGACTCTTAACTGCCAGACAGGAGGTAGCGTCACCCACTTTGCCAGCAGTGGTGGAGACGCAGAACAAGAATCAGGTCAGCAAGAACTGGTGGCACTTGCCCGGGGTTCTGCTAAACCCAGCCCAGCTCTTTGGCTCAGGATCTTCTCTCTTCAACCTGCAGGTAGAGATTTTCCTCCTTCACTTCGGCAACTGCAGTGGGAGCCACTAACAACGTCCTGTCCCGTGGCTTGACTTGATAAATATCTGTTCACTTTAAGCCTAGTTGGGTGCTGGAGTGGGCACCATGGGTGTATACCAAACCACCCCAAATCTAGTGGCTTAACACCACACACATTTGTCATCTCAGATTCTGTGGCTTGCAAGTCCAGGCACCTAGAAGTTGGGCTCCCATGTAGAGTCCCACCAGCTGGGTCTCATCTGAAACCCGGGTCTTCTGAACTCTCCTGATTATTCAGTTCAGATTTCTGTTTTCAGGTGTGATTGCAGGGCTGAGGGCCTGTTTTCTCTTTGACAGTCATTGGGTCCTGCTCCCTGGTCCCGGAAGTTGCTTGTGGTTCCTTGCCTGTGGATCCCTCATAACACGGCAACTCAAGGCCAGCAAGAGAAACTTGTTCTCCAGTTCTCATAAAGGATAAACTGACTAGGTCAGGCCCATGCAGGATAATCACCCTCTTAAAAGGCGGAAGGTCCATGGAGGATGTTTTCCCCATATTATTATTTTTATTGAAGTGTAGTTGCTGTATAATATATTACAGGTGTACAATATAGTGATTCATGATTTTTCAAGGTTATACTCCATTTAGCTATTATAAAATATTGGCTATAGTCCCCATGTTGTAAAATAACATATCTATGAAGTTATTTTATACCAAATAGTTTATACCTTACTCCCCTACTCCTATAATGGCCCCCACCCCCTGAACCTAGTTTGTTCTCTGTATCTTGTGACTTCTGCTGCTTTTTTGTTATATTCACTAGTTTGTTGTATTTTTTAGATTTCATATATAACTGGTATCATTATTTGTTTCTCATGTCAGCCTAATGCCCTCCAAGTCCATCCATGTTGTTGCAAATGGCAAAATTTCTTTCCTTTTTATGGCTTAGTATTGCATTGTATGTATATACCACCTTCAGTGTTGATGTTTATTATTCATCTGTTGATGTACATTAGGTTGCTTCCATTCTTGGCAACTGTAAATAGTACTGCTATGAACACTGGGGTGCATATATCTTTTCAAATTAGCTTTTGGTTTTTTTGGATATAAATCCAGGAGTAGATTTGCTGGGTCATATGGCAGTTCTATTTTTAGTATTTTGAGAAACCTCCATATTCACAGTGGCTGCACCAGGGTTGTACATTCCCACCAACAATGTATGAGGGTTTCATGAGGGACTTTATCTGCAAATCCTTTCACATCCACCACACAATATAACCTAATCACAGCAGTGATGTTCTGTCATACTCACAGGTCCTGTTCGGCCTACCACTGGGGCTTCAGAGTCAAGCCACACCCATAACTAAAATCCATCAGAACGGACAAATACCAATGGGCACTTTTCTTTATTGTTAAAACAGAAAATCCTGGGTCTCTTATATCCACACAATCTCTCTTGCTATCTGGCAAGATCAATTCCATGTTTGTGTAGGCAGGGAACAAGAACAGAGGGGCTCCTGCTCAGAGATTTATTGTTGGTTCCGCTTCTGTCCTGCTTCTCTCTAAATGCTCACCAGCACGGACTCTTCTCAAGGCGATGGAGGTCAGTCCTGATCTCTAAGTGCAGGAATGGCTCCCTGTGGTGTGACTCAGTCTCTCCAAAAATGGTTGTGGTCCCAGGTGAGCTTAGACGGCTGTGTCAGACATCACAGACACACACAGACAGACACACAGACAGAGCCCCTCTTCACAGCGAATATGTGTAAGTACATACATTTTAATACCTGCTGATGAACAGAAATGAAATAGGACACAGATGTAACACAGTAACACAGGGATGGGGGAGAGGAGTGGAGGGAGCAGGACACTGGATATGACCACAGCAACCCATGAGTGATTCCCTTGGTGCTCTGAGGTCACAAGACCCTCGCTTCACGCCACCAAAAACCGCATGGTGAATAAACTACCAACTCTGGGAGATGAGCTGTGGGCGCCACTGCGGAGCTTAGAATGAGACAGGGCCCTCCCTGTCACGGTGTCAATACTCAAGGGTGGCGGGATCCGAGAGTGTCACAGTCAGCACTGACGCAGGGAGAGCGGCCTAGTGGAGGTGAGCACCGTTCGCCTTGCTCTGGGTGAAGGAGGGCCCCGCTCGGGTGGCGGGGCCCCAGGACACCTTGGTCTTGACCTATGGCAGCACTGCACAGCACCGTGCCCCGGCCAGCTCCACGCTGTCCCCTGAGCACCCTCCCCCCAGGGACCTAAGTCAGAGGAGATGGGGGAACCACACAGCGGAGTGTGAGGGGCGGGAGCTGGCAGAGGAGCAGGCGTGCCCCGGGCCCGGCCCTCCTAGGCATCGTGGAGGCTGCCGTCACTTAGGAGCACCTTCTCCCCGGGCCTGAAGGCCGGCAGCCCAAGGTAGGGGCAGCTGGCACAGCGGAAAGCATCGCCCAGGTAGCACTGTTGAGAGAAGAGACCACCCATTAGCGAGGCCGAGTGTCAGCTCTCCCGGAGACATGGGCTGGAAGATAATATCATATATGGCCACAGCAGCCTGGAGAGAATGAGCGTGAGAATCTGTAGGTCCCGTTGAGACCCACAGACTGAGAGTCTTTAAGATCTCTGATTTCATGAAAGACAAAGGTCTAGAGAAAGCTCCTTAGGTGGACATACTTCTGGATTCTGAGCAGTTCAAGTCATAGCCACACGTAGCAAATGGTTAGGTAGCTTCGGGCCCAGTATGAAGCAGAAAGAAAGGGGCCAGAAGTAAGAAATGACAGGCACCTGCCTCCCTATGGGCCTGAGCGTGCTACCCACTCTCAGGCGATAACCCGTCTTCCCACTACTACCTGGAGGCACAGTCTCACATGTCCACCTATTGTTACAGTACTTGGGCAGTAGCTTCTGTAAAGCTGGAGTTGGTCTGTGTATGCGTTAGTCCTTTGTGAATACTGAGTAACCATCCAGATACTCACATTTCCACAAGCCGACTTGGGCTGAGAGCTTATCTGGTCCCTCGACTTCTCTTTTTCCAGTTCTTCTGCGAGGCCACAGGTGCTGGGGAAAGTCAGGAGCTGATGAGTGAGATTTCCCGCCACCTAAATCCTTGACAGACCTCCTTTCCCCTTGAGCCTTCACAGATGCAGACATGGACCTTTCCTGATCTAGTCAGGTTTGGGCTCCACAACTCAATAAGTTATTGTTTGGAGATTCACACAGACATAGTAAACTATGGAAAAAGTCAGGAAGGAGGAACCCAAGCTTGGGAGGGGAGGGAGGGAGATGCGGCTGAGGAAGCAGGCGGAGGCAACGTCTAAGGTTCCTGATTCTTAACCTGGGTGGTCAGTACCTGGGTGTTCATTTTAGTATTCTTTAAAATGTACCTGTTTAGTACACTCTTCCATACATCTGACACAATTTCTAATAAGATATGTTTAGTAGCGAGGTGGCCCCAGCTCACCCCAAGGCTTACCAGTTCTTGCAGGCTTTCCTCTTTTTCCCTTCCCCACAGGAAGGGGCCCTCAAGGAAGCTGGGTCTGGCTTCTTCAGATCTTCTGCATCCAGCAGTTCATCTGAGTCGATAAGATCCTGGAGAGTGTTGGAGGCCATGAATGACACAGTCGTGCTCTCTGCTAATGAACAGCTGACATGGTCACGGGCCACGGCCGCAGTTCACCCTTGTGTCAGAAGGCGTCCACCATCCTACCCAGGGTTGATCATCACACCTAAGCCACCCACACAGCAAGTAAACTACGGGCATGGAAGCTGTACTGGGTTGTGAGGGGCCTGGGAACTCATTTATGATGTGCAGAGAATATGTGTGTGGAGGGTGGGAGGGAGGGAGCAGGAAGAACAGGGAAGTGTTATATGTACTTGAATATATATAAGGGCTGTCACGTGAGAAAAGGGGATGGAATATTTTCTATATAATTTCAGCGGAAAAGGCAATAATAATATATACACTTGGGTAATGTGTGAGGACAATTAATCTGTAAGTTCTATGAGGACACACACCATCACCTATTTTGCTTACCACTAACCTCGATAGTTGCAGAAATGAAGCATTTTATTACAGAAAGCACAGATCTGAGATTTTAAGACAGTGAGCATTTGGTATCTTGTCCAGATGAAGAAGCCAAAAAATATTTTAGCTGACAAACTCTTTTTAGGTTTACACATGCCTACAAGAGTCTTCAGTATATCACATGAAGTGAGAACAAGAAAATCTGTGGGGAAAGATGCTGAAAAGGATATGTAAGATGCCACCAATGTGGAGTTTCCTTCTGAGTCAAAAACACCAGTGTCAGGCACCACCACAAGGCTGGGCTTTAAATGCTTCCACACTTACGAACTCAGAGAGTCCATTCCAAACTATGACCGCTCAACCCAACATGAATGTGAAAGTCACTGTCGTGTCCGACTCTTTGCAACCTCATGGGCTATACAGTTCATGGAATTCTCCAGGTCAGATACTGGAGTGGGTAGTCTTTCCCTTCTCCAGGGGATCTTCCCAACCCAGGGATCAAACCCAGGTCTCCCGCATTGCAGTAGGATTCTTTACCAGCTGAGCCACAAGGGAAGCCCAAGAATACTGGAGTGGGTAGCCTATCCCTTCTCCAGCAGATCCTCCCAACCCAGGAATTGAACCGGGGTCTCCTGCATTGCAGGCGGATTCTTTACCAACTGAGCTGAGGGAAGCCTAAAAGAAAGCAATCAGGTGACCACAGAGCTGACTCACCACACTCTCATCCTCCATATCATTGGCTGAGAGGGTCCAGAGCTTGGCAGCTGCAGGGTCCACAGCAGGCTTCCCTGAGTCCAACCAATAAAAGAAAATGAGCTTCAGAAAAGCAGTCGGAAACAAGGTCCACACACATATAAGTGCTTTCCTTTGAGGCTGTGCAGGGAACACACTGGACTGGGAGTCTAAAGACTTGGGCTCAAAGCCCGGATCAACCACTTATAAAGGACCCATCGCTTTATGGTAATAAAAGTCATCCTTTGTTAAGCACTTGTTTTGTGCCAGATATTAATACTACATATTAAACACTTTACATATGTTATCTGGTTTAGTCTTGCTAACCACCTCATGAGGAAAGTTATCTGTCATCCTAATCTTATAAGGAAACAGATTTAGATACTTGGGCCAGTTCCATACAGCCACAAATACAAATACAGACACAGTCTGCCTAACGCTTTAAGCTTCCACTCTACCTTGCGTTCTCCTCCTCCTCTTAGTTTCAGCACGGGGCTTAATAATATTCCCTATACCCACAGCAGGAGATTTGCAGATTAAATGAGAAAGTGTGCCAAAAAGCATTGTGAATAGCAAAGCTTTGGTCTCATTTAAACCTGTTATAGACAAAAAAACGGGCTCTGGAGCTGACGGTGGTAGTGTAAGAACAAATCAGTGACAATTACACCTGATTCCCTTTCCAGGGGCTTCAGTGTGGGCTGGCTCATGAAGGGGGCTTGGGGGTAAAGTGTGCCCCCTGTGATCACTGTCACAACTGGATGCTCAGACCCCCACGGGGCAGGTCATCTAAGCAGATCCTAGCTGCTCTGGAACTTTGAATCCAAAGGTTAGAATGCCAAGGAATTTCTTGAAGATTCAGGTTGGACAGCCAAAAGAGCAGTGTGAATGCACCTGTAAACTTCTGTCTGCCTCACAACTGGGACAATTCTTGTCAACCTGGGCATTAAAAGACAGTGCTAGGAAGGGTGAGAATGATATAAAGGACTGGGTGTAATTTTCTAAACAGAAGAGCTATTTCTATAAGTGTCTTAAGATCCTCAAAGCAAGAAAAGCAGACTTCAATGGCACAGAGAAAAGGACACACAGGAAGAGGAACAGGGCAGTTTTATCTGCCACAACCGCCTCTGGGAGGTCTTCAGAGCGTAGTGTCATGATTCTGGGGTCTGGAAAGACTTCATTAGCTAATGAAGCTACAGGACTCAGGACTCTGGAACCTGGAGGCCTCAGCATCCTCTGGTGAAGAAGGAGGGGCTGAACTAGGTAATATCTACGTGTCACTTCAGTTTCAGATTTGAATATGCCCAGGACAGCAGTACATTAAGCATCCTTCTATTTGGAAATGAGAGAAATTAAGGAAGGAGCTGATACTATAAAGTTCTCACCACCTCATTTACATCTCTGGCTCGGTTTCTAACTGGACCTCCTTTAGTCACTCAGACAGACATGTCCCTACGCCATCTCACCGGAAGACTTCTTGGCAGTAGAAAGCTTAAGTTGACTAGAAGAGCCCACTTCAAAGTTGGGCTTTTTGCCTGTGATCTGCACAGAGAGCAGGCTGTCGCTGTGGTAAGCCAGGTGTTCTCGGACAGACTGAATCTCCTCAGGGCTCAAGGACTCGCGCTGCAGCTGTAATTCAAGACATCAGCAATTAGGGCACATCACAGTCCTTCCGACAGTGTGACACTGTACCACGTCCCCCCACGGATGTCAAATGCTCACGTATGGAGGAAGTACACGACAGAGGGAGATCACAGACAACGCCTCATGCCTCCCGTTCTCCAGAGCGTTAACTTCTGTCTACATGTTTACAGTTAGCCCATTCCATGGAAAGTTTGAAAGTATTTATCAAATAGCTGTCTATTGGGTACAAGGCGCTGTGCAAGGCACTGTGGGGACTATAATGATTATAATTATCAAGATGAAAAGGATCAAAGCCCTATAGGATCATAGCCGGGAAGCATGCCCACGTAAAGAGGCTAGAAATGAAATATGTAGTAGAGAAAGAGAACCAAGGGGGAGGGAAATGCTTTTTATGTTCCTTGAGATGAAGCAGCAGGCAGTAAAGGTAGGAAAAACGGTGGGAGGTGCTGCCTCTGTGTCTAAGAATTAAGGAATGAATGGCCACAAAAATCACAGTCCATTTCTACCACTGAATGTTGTTCCATCATTAATAACCAAGTGGGGAACACACTGATATGGATAAATGTTGAGCGTATCTAAAGGTGGGGAAAAGAGCTAGTGACTTAACAATGTATAATGTGACTTGATTTACATTAAAAACATGGAGACATACACACATAACACTCTTGTAAATGTGTAAAATGTCTGAACAGCTACACCAAAAAATGTATTGGTGGCTTCCTCTAAGGAGGGAAGTGTAAGCAAGGTCTGAGATGTCACTTTAAACTCTTTGGTCTTAATTGAAGTTTTATGAACATCCCATATTTCAGAATAAAAGAATAGAAGAACTTTAACTAAAAACAAAAATAAAAAAGAGAAAGTATAAACTGAGGCCCAAGGCCATGTACAGATCCAAGTATGACAACTACTGTGATATACCACCTACCTCTCACACAAGAACATCTGGGCATGGGAGAATGCAGAACCATGAATACCTCTGTTTAATGTTAATGTTTCTACTGAATTGTCAGAAAAGGATTTCCCCTCCAACTATTCCAGCCTCCCACCAAAAAGCCAAGGAAAATAACTGTGTAAGATTTGTGTAATAATTGTGTAATTACAGGCGACTGCCTTCTACATGGGCCTAAGACTTGTGTCCACTAAGAGATGTCTTGCTCCCTTTCTGCCTCAGGCGTCAGCACCAGTACCGAGACCAGAAAACGGCCCCCACATGGGCCCAAGCTGAGTCTCTCCAGAGCAGGCTGATTTCAGAGGTCTCCTCCTTTGAGGTATCAGGTATCTTCTCTACTTGTTTGCTAGTCTAAGTGACGCCGCTCACCTCACCTCAGAGTTATTTCTTCCAGATTCTCTCTGTATCGTCTGACAAAGAGACACTGGGTTTAGTCACCCAAGGCTTAAATTCCTAGCGAAGAAGGTCGTCTACAAACATACCTCTTTTACTTCCACAAGACCAGAAAGAGTCAGGGCTGAACACAGCTTAGATGCCGTCTTCACTTTGCTATTGTTAACTGCTAAGAGGAAAACCCCAATTAGTAGCTTTATAGGCCAATGCAGGAAAAATTATAAAGGCTCTATCCTAGTAGAGTCACCAGGGCATTAAAATAATAATAACCTATTCTGTTCAATAGAATATAAATATATTTATATACAATATAAATATGTATATTTTTAATGATATTTTAATTAGAGAAGTACTTTTGGTTGTTCAAAGTGCTCTTATACAATAAATCCTTTATTATTGTTTCTTGTCACACTCTGTTTCTGAGAAATACTTAATCTTACAGGGGCTGCTAGATAATGACTGAGAAAGAGGATTAGAAACTGTATACAAGTATCTTTGTATGGTTCTGGTAAGACGCTGTGTTTAGCCACTCAAGGTTTACCTCCTGGCAAAGAAGGCTATATCTGCTCCTAACATCACAAGTTTGTGTTTCCACATAAACACATCTACATGTTTCAAAATACTTTCATTTCTATTATCATAATTGATGAAATAATACATCACATTTTGATAGAAAGTCTAAGTTAAAATGCTAAAACTCTAGAATGAATCTGACAGCTTTACCACTAAGCAAAAAAAATTTTTAAAGGTTTTTATTTCTTGGATTCTATCTTTAGTTTCACATGAATCAATACTTACCTCATCACTCTAGGACTATATTTTAATTTTTGAGTTTGAAATACTATAGATGTACAGTAAATTAAAAAAAAGTTCAGGGAGGTTCGGAGGACCCTTCCCCTCACCTCCCCATGGTAATATCTTATACAACTGTTATATAGTATGAAGGCTGGGAAACTGTCACTTATAGTCCACAGAGCTTATCCTGGTTTCACCAGTTTTACATACATTCGTGTGTGTGTGTGTGTGTGTGTGTGTGTGTGTGGTTTCACCAGTTTTACATATACGTCTGTGTGTGTGTGTGTGTGGTCTTCATTACCACAGGGAGCCCTCATATACCCCCTTTATAGCCTCATGAACACCCTTCCCGTGTGTGTGTGTGTGTGTGTGTGTGTGTGTGGTTTCACCAGTTTTACATACACTTTTGTGTGTGTGTGTGTGTGGTTTCACCAGTTTTACATACACTTGTGTGTGTGTGTGTGTGGTCTTCATCACCACAAGGAGCCCTCATACACCCCCCTTATAGCCTCATGAACACCCTTCCCTCCTGATCCTAACCGCTGACAGTGGCCACCCTCTTCCCTGTCACTATAACTTTGTTATTTCAAGAATGTTCTGTGAATGGAATCATACAGCATGTAAGCTTTGGAGACTGGATTTCTTTCACTCAGCATGATTTCCTTGAGACTCATCCAAACTGTTGCATGTGGCAATCGTTTGTTCCTTTTTTTTTTTTTTACTGCTGCATAGTTTTCCATTGTGTGGATGTACCAGTTAAACCATTCACCTGTTGAAGGATCCAGCCATTTTCAGATGAGCAGTTTCCTTCTATTTTACTACCTAGTGGGTCAAAGATCACAATTTATTCAGATGTGTGGTTCAGAGTTTTACAATAACTTATCCCTAAGGATAAGGTTTAGTATAGGAATACTGATCTCCAAATGATACCTGCTACTCAGAGAGATGCAGCGAACATACCTAAGATTCAACCCTGTTAAATCTTAAGGTTTAAGTGGGTCTTTCAAGTGAAGATCTAGTCTTTTAAGTGAAGCTCTCCTTACCTACAGCTGTCTCTACAGGCTCCTTCAGAAAAAGACATCCACCAGGCCGAAGAATCCGGGCCATCTCAGCCAAAATCTCAGCACTGTGCAGAGTGGTGCTTCCAGGAATTACACCCGACAAAACAATGTCAAAGCTAGATTCTTTGTGGGCAGCTGAAAAGAAGGAAGACTCTAATTAGTGGTCACCTGGGCCCCAGAAGTCATCGACCAAGCCCCCATAAAAGCTACATGCATGGCCCCATAAAATAAACACCTACCTGTCTGCAAATGCTATTATACCACTGTTACTACCAAGTGAGGCAAGGATGCTTGCTCTCCCGCAGTCTCACTAACTTCTTTTTTTACATGCTCAGGGGGAAATGTAAAAAAAGAAGGTGAATGAAAAACAAGCTTTAAAAAAAAGATGTAGAACGGGTTCAATGGGTAAAGAAACTGCCTGCAATGCAGGAGACATGGGTTCAATCCCTGGGTCAGGAAGATCCCCTGGAGAAGGAAATGGCAACCCACTCCAGTATTCTTGCCTGGAGAATTCCATGAACAGAGGAGCCTGGCGGGCTACAGTCCAAAGGGTCACAAAGAGTTGGATACGACTAAGCGGCTAAGCATGAAGTAATAAGAAATAAGAAGCTGATTACACAAATCATCAACAATATCTAAGTCCACTATACCTCAACCGAAACATACTATCATGTGCCACCCGGAACAAAAACCCAGCCACCAAGGACGGCAGAAAAGCAGCACCCCCAGCATAACTATCTGCCCTGAAAGGCAACCTGGGCAGGTACTTACACTGCAACAGCTGGTTGATATTTTCCACAGACACTCGGCCCTCATCGCCAGTTAAGGCTTGAAGCTTATCCACCAGATCTTTCAGAGCCTCCACCGGGGATGACTTATCCCAGATCACTGCCACAAACTGGCCAGCTGAGATCCCAAAATCTGCCATTCCCGCCGTGCTGTGGACCTAAAAGCTATGGGCCAAAAAAGAGTCAAAGCTGAGCAGAGACAAACATGCAATGATTAGAATTACACCTAATTTTGACCTCCCATTAGAAAATCTCACTGTAGATAGCAGAGTGTGATTAAGTAAACCCATTATCCAAGGTTTCATAACCCCAACATTCCCAAACATGGCAGGTGGCTTCCTCAGTGAGAATCCTGACTGGGGAGTCAAGTAAGGAGGTTGAAGGCACAAAGATTATTTTCTCTTTGATATGAAAACCCAGCTTGAACAGAATGTAAAACACACAGGACATTAATTAAGCAGAAGTAGGACTCAGCAAGGGAGGCAAATAAGTTGGCTGCCATATCCTAACCACAAGCTGAGATGTTTTTAAAAGGAGACAACATATGTAAGTTTAGAAAATTGAATAATGATATTTCCCCATTCATCAAGATATGAAAATTCAATTTCACTGAGTCTGCAGTGATCAATGGTATCTACCATGTCTTTAACAATACTAGCCAAACTCTTCAAAGCTTTTAATATACATTATCTCAACTGAACCCAAGTATAACCTTAAACTAGGTACTCCTCCCACTTTACAGTCAGGACACAAGCTGTTGACTTTGCCCAGGTCACATAACTGGTAAGTGTTGTGGGGATACAGAAAGAGCTGGGATTTGAATCCCAATCTGTATGACTGTAAAACTTTCGACCTACAGAAATTTCCTCCCACCGGAGTCAACTTTCTCTTTCACTTGATACTCAGACGGAGTATACAATGTCCTCACAATGCACTCAGGTCAGCAAGATAGCAGCCTACTTAGTTCCCCTTTTCTTTCTTAAACATTAATGACACTGAGTCCCTGCCTGCAGATAGCTCTACCAAATGACACGAAGACAGAAGCTGTAGGAGAGAGGTCATTCGTGGATCAGTCTTAAGTGGAACACTTCTGTCAGAAGCTGCAGGAGAGAGGTCATGCGTGGATCGGTTTTAAGCGGAACACTTCTGTCTTCTGAGAGGTGGCTAAGTGAAGTAAAGTCACTCAGTCGTGTCGACTCTTTGCGACCCCATGGGCTGTAGCCCACCAGGCTCCTCGGTCCATGGGATTTTTCCAGGCATGAATACTGGAGTGGGTTGCCATTTCCTTCTCTAGGGGGTCTTCCTGACCCAGGGATTGAACCCAGGTCTCCCGCATTGTAGGCAGACACTTTACCATCTGAGCTACCAGGGAAGCCGGAGAGGTGGCTAACCCAGTAACAATTATGTCTCCACAAACATTCTGGGACTGAGCTTAAGCCAGGCACACACACTCTTCCTTCTTCCAAAACGTTCCCTTCAAATGACTTGCCTTTCAGCCTATTAAAACATGCTGAGGTTAGCCAGGCATCCTTAAATATGATAGTACTTTTGATTTTGTCGTTCATCTTCTAAAGGAGTTACTAAGGCTTTTATTTTCTAGAACAAAGTCAAATCTCCTCAGTCTTCTGGATCCAGGTGCTCTGTAATCTCTGGCGCTCCAATCTCCTACCTCCCCTTGTTCAATGGAAAAGCCTGGCATTTTTCACTCCATCATGCCTTTTATCTGATTCCTTCCTTATGGAATACCTTTATTATCCCAACCTGCCTTCAAGGCACAGTAAAAGGATGCCAAGTGTTATCAGACAAACAGGACTCCTTATTCACTAAATTGTGGTTTTTAAATCCCTAAAAAGCACACAATCAAGAACTGAAACTTTAAGCTCTCAACTGTAACATGATGTTGAGGAAGAACCCTTACAAGTCTTTCAAGTGAACAACTTGGGATCTCACATTTAAGAACCAACTGTGAAAGACAGGAATATGGACTGCTGGGCATGAAGTTATAAGAAATAAACGACCTGTTTCTAGAATGATGTTGAAACAAGTTCTCCCTGGGGGCCATTGGAAAAGATCCTTTCCCATTACACCAACCTTGCACTGTACTCACAGAAAACCCCTCATGCAAGAACCAAGGGGCCAAAGGCTACTAATTAGCAAGAGAAACGCAAAAGGCCAGATCTCTAGACCTTTTCAGCAAACTTAATGGAGGCAGAGTTTTATAGAGCACAGGTTTCCAACAGAAATGAACTGGGTTCTGTCTAGCACTAGATCTTCTATTCATTGGCTACATAACCATGGATCTGTGATTAGCCTCTCTCTTTTCTCATTAATAAAGTAGGGATAATGATCTTATATTTTGCAAGGCGGTGGCAAGAAGTAAATAAGAAGATAAAAATATGCAAAGCACTCAGCAGGGCCTGGCACATAAAGCTCAATAAAATAATGTTCTCAGAGAATTCTGAGCCTCCACTTCTCTGGGGCCAGTCTATTTGCCTTTCCTTCAAACAGTCCTATAAAATCTTGTTCCTCCTCAGCCCTGCCAGCTGGGAGGGCTCCCCAGGGAGAGATGTGAAGCTGCTTTTTCATTGTTAAAATTACACAATATAAGAGCCACACTTTATGACATCTTATACAGTACTCCAGTGGGATTGTGTCCGTAAATTAGAAGACTGGGAAGTGCTCTGTGTTCCATATCCCCTGAAACTAATCTTCTATGGCAACAGGGAGCTCATAAAATACATTTATTAAACATTAACCCTCAAAAAACAAGACACTGCCACCATTTGCGGTCAGCATTTTCCAAATAAAATGGGACACAGTGTTCTTTTAAACATCTAAAAGTGAAAGTGTAATGTTATTCATCATCGGAGTTTTATGTTGTTGTCAATGTTTTTTCTAAAAAGACATAAGGAAAAAAATGCCTGGCACCTAGGTCAACATACTTAGAAGTGTGACTCAGAGCCCCAGTTTCATTAAAGTGGCAGAGTAGAAGTCATTGTCATGTCACTGCATTTATCTGAGAACAACTTCTGGAGATTCACTTGTTTATTTTTAAGACACCTGTAAACATCAAATCTTGAGGCATTTGGCTTCCTTTAAGGATGAAGGCGGGGGAAAGAATTAAAAAAAAAAAAATTTGAGGTTTGGATTTCAGCTCAAACCAAGGATCAAATCCTTTTAAGTCAAATGTATAAAAAAACTTCTGAGAATACTGACAGTTATCAGGAAAACTTTAATTCAAATAAACTGAAACACACACACAGAAAAAAAGGTGATAATCTGTAAGGAAGTAGTACACTCAAAGGAAAAGAAACGGACAACTTTGTCTCCAAGTAAATTGTAGATTTTCCACAAGAGAGAGAAGCTGGAAGATGAGTGGACAGAACTCAGAAAACAAAACCTCATGGAGAGATTAGTAGGGCTTTACCCAAATCGAGAAATATGGATCTGAAATTTTAACATCTGGGGAGTAGTTCTGGCTTAAGAGGAGGCTTCCCCCACACTCACACAGGGGAGAAGAAGTAATTGAAAAGACTAGAGTTGATAAGCTAACTGAAAAGATGCAAAAGAGAAAAGGGTCTAACTGCACAAAATTTACAGAATGGCATGCTTAGCTCCTGCCCTCTGGTATCTCTAACCCCCAAAATCATTTACTTCTTCCGACTATTATGAAGCCTTCCTTGTTGATTAATTTCCCAGTGAGGCACTCCGTATTTATATTTCTGTTCAGTGACTAGTCCATGACCTCCCTGAGTCATGCAGAGCTTGGCACTCAATGTGAGAATAAAGGCCACCAGCCTTTCCCAAACTCACAGATCATCGAAATCACCCGGAGGCACGTTAAAATAAGATTCCACGGGTACATTCAGAGGTATTGAATCGATTCTCCAGGAGAAAGATCTCCGGATCCAATTTACTAACAAGCATCCTGATGGCTTTTCCAACCTGGCAAGTTTGGGAATACTCAATTATACCAACTCAACACCTTGGAGGTTCGGGGAAGACACAGGTTCAAATTTACAACCTGGGGCTCCAGCGACCCCCACAACGGAAACTTCGGCTTCCCCGATGTTTGCAAAGAGGGACGGAGACTCAAGGTCATAACAGCTTGCTACTAGCAGTAGTGGGTCTCAGACTCCGATCTCCCGGTCCCCAGCTCAGCGCTGTCCCCCGGGCCTCAGGCTGGGTCCGGCTGCGCGGGAGATAAGGCAGCCCGGGAAGGGCCGAAGCCACCACTCCAGGGGCCCCAGGGGAGACAGGGCCAACGCGGCCCCTCACACCGGCTTCCTCCGGGGGAAACCCAGCTGTGGTCCTCAAGGAGGTGGCCACGGCCACGTCTCCGCCGAAAGATGGGGCTGGAAATGGGAAAAGAGCCGATGTAGAGGAGAGAATGGGTCGGGAGGGGACCGTTGGGGACGATCGAGCTCACGGACCATCAGAAGAGCGCTCACCTGCCGCCCTGAGCTCGCTCCGGGATTCTCCGCATCCGCCGGCTACACACCTCGCGCCTCTCGCGAGAGGAGAAAACTCCCACTGCGCGGGGGAAGGCGGAAGTGGCCACTCAGCGCTGCCGTCGCCTCGCCGTACGCCGCGTGCCCGCTTCCAAGATGGCGGCGGCGGCGGCGTTTTCTGGAGCCCTACGCCGGGCGGGCTGGAGGCTCCTTCAGCTGCGGTGCCTGCCCGGTGAGGGGGCGGCCGAGCCCGGGAGAGGGGAGGGAAGTGGTGGAGGGGGGACAGACCTGGTCTGGGTGAGGGGCGGCAGAAGCCTCGGGGCGGCTCGAGAGCAAGGTGAGGTGAAGGGCATAATGGCTCGCGCCGGCGCCCCGGCCTTAAAGTGGTCGCCTGGCTGGCTTCTGACCACGTTCTCGACCTGTGAGGAGCAAGAGCATCAGGGAAGGGCTTGTCATTCCCATTTCACGGAGTTGACGGAGCCTGAAAGAGGGCTGTAGGTGCCCAAGATCACACAGCTCGTCCGTTGCAGACCTGGCACACTCGCCCTAGTCTCTGGACTCCGTTGTCAAATCCCTGGGCCCTGATCACAGGAAACAGCTACAGAGAGCCCCTCGTCTGTTAATACTTTTTCCTAAGTCAGTCATTTCCCCACCACTTAAGTAATTCTTCAATATCTACGTATCACCTTTGCCGCCATATAGTCAGTAGTTTTGTTTATACACCTGATTTTATAAAAATATTGACCTTTATATCACTACCATAAATGGAAAACCAATGTCACCTCCCATAAGTAAATTATGTATGAACATATATAAGTATATAAATGATGAAATAATGTTCTTTTGTATTCTCCTGTAGTCCACCTGAAATCTTGTGGACTGCAGTGATTCTGCAATATTGCTTTGGGATCTCCCAGACCCTTTTCAAAGTTTTATGAATGTTTGCTTCATTTTTTTCTGTGCATATACTAAAATAATTTATATTTTCACATGTCACGTGCTGTATTTCTTTTAAAAATCATTGTTTCCTAAGTTGATCCATAGACTTTTTTTTTTCCTTCATGAGCTCTGTTTTATACATAACTGCAAACTATATTCAGTAGAAGTACAAATAATGCCTGTGACCCAGAAAATCTTCGAGATGTTTACCCAACAGAAATGAAGTCATACGTCCACAACAAGACTTGAACAAGTGTGTACATAGCACCTTTATTTATTATAGCCAACACTGAAACAGCCCAACAGTAGTGTTTCTTAATGGAATGCTACTGAACAGTGAAAAAGTAACAACCTACTGACCTACACAAAAATGTGAATTAATCTAAAAGATACTCTGGGCCAAAAAGTCTTGTACATACACAGAACCCACAGTATGATTCTATATAAATGTCACCTCAATGAAAGAAAAGCAAAAATTTTAACTCTGGTTAAGGATGTGTGTACTAAAATGTTTAGAAATAAAGAATACTGAAGTCTGCGACAAATGCATCAAGAAATAGATTAATGTGGGAAGAGTGTGATGGATAGCTGTGTAGAACTTAGCTGTGTATAAATGCTGGGAAAGAAAAACATAGTTATTAGCCTTTCCTTAGGGAACACAATACTGTACTTTTCAAAAGCCCTTGCCTAAAGTAAATGGGGGTGTTGCAGTATTGCAGATGAGAAAACAGACACCCCATAAACACTAGGGAGTTGGTACTCAGACCTGATTTCTAGTCCAGTGCTCTTGCTGTGACATATAATTATATAACATTTTTAAGTCACTTTCATTTTTTGCTTGAGCCTCACAGCATTCTCATTGAGTAAATAGAGATTATTTCTTAATTTGCATATTTTAAGGTCATGCTCTTTGCCCATTAACCTAACAAATGATGGAAACATGCCTTGAAGACAGGTGTTCTTCTGGTTTATGCTTTTGCCAACACATCATGTCAAAAGGGGAGAAGGAAATGGCCACCCACTCCAGTATTCTTGCCTAGAGAATCCCATGGACAGAGGAACCTGGAGGGCTACAGTCCACAGGGTCGCAAGAGTAGAACATGATTTAGTGACTAAACACCACCACCACGTCAAAAGTTTCCCAGTTTACCTCAGATTTTTGTCTGGGATCTAGCACTTGGTTCTGGCTTTCCTCTGCTTGTCTTCCATCCCTCCTACCACCCTGGGTCTCAAAGGGTCTGCTTTGGTGAGTGTCCTTGACTGACCAGCTCAGCTTCTGTTTCAGTGTCCCACTGCCGACCAGCCCTGGCACCACGTGCCTTCCACGCTTCAGTTATGCAGCTGAGGTCTTCAGATCAGCAGAAGCATCAACCTCCGCCCTCTTCTTCTCAGCAACAGTCTGACGCACAGGGCGTAGAAGAACCCAATCCAGAGGCTCTGCGTTCATCCCCCAGGTAGGCATCAGAACACCTGTCCACCCATTTTGTCGACTTTAAGTGCCTGGGTGAATCTGTGCTTCTCCTTCCTTTCTCCTCTCCACCCTCTTCACACCTTTCATCATTTTCAAAACCATCTTTGGAAAGAACTTGTTCTTTGTTTATTTTATGAAGGTGGTGCCTATACATTCTAAAATGTTCTGAACAACATAAAGACGTTCACAAAAATAAAGCAAAAAAAATTACCAGAAATCACAAACCAAGGAATAACTCTGCTAACATTTTTGTGATTATCCTTTTAAATGTTTCTCTAAGCAAGTTTCATATATAGCCCTGTGTAGATTATAAATGATTAATTATAGTGTATGCTATACCTGTTGTTCCAGAGACTGTTTTTTCACTCAGCAGGACATCTTTAATGTCTTTTCACAGATTGTATGATTTTAATGGTTGTGTAATATTCCAACAAATGGCAGTACCGGAAATACTTGACCTTTTATTGATGGATATTTAGATTTCATTCACATCATGAAAAATGGTGTGATAAAGTGTGTGATTTTATCAGCAGTGGGAGCACTGAGTCAAAGGATACGCACCTTCTGAATTTTGTTCACCTCTGTGGGGCCAGATTGCCTGGCAGAAGGGAGATGATAATTCCGTCTCCATTAGATATGTTCTGTTTACTTCATCCTGCTCCTGAGAAGCTCCTTTAGCTCTGAAATGAGAGTGTCTGCAGTCAGTTTTCTGGTTTCTCAGTGAATGTACTTTTTTTTTTTTTCTGGTGAATGTACTTTTCATTTCAATTCAGAGGGTCTTCTTTGTGCCAGGCCCTGTGAATAATGTCACCATTGTCCCTGTCCTCATGGATTGCAGTTTGGTACAAACCTAGATAATGAAACAGTGCCGTGAGGCTATAAGGCTGTAGCCTGGGATGTCCAGGGTGTCCCTTCCTGTTGCGTGACCTCCTTGCTCAGTGGTTCTTTCTCTCAGTGACTCTTTGGGAGGCGAAGGATGATGTGATTTTTGCTCTCTTGGCATTCACACACTGATGCTGACACGTAAGTAAATGTCCTCCCAACACGCGCTGCGAGGAGGCACAGTGCCTGTGGTTTCTGGCCAGGTGTGTTTTGCGTTGTTCGGCAGGAGGTGGTGAGAGGAGGAGTCAGAACTCTGTCCCCATGTCTGTCTCAGGTACACCGACCAGGGCGGGGGGGAGGAAGAGGACTACGAGAGTGAGGAGCAGCTGCAGCACCGCATCCTGACAGCAGCCCTGGAGTTCGTGCCCGCCCATGGGTGGACGGCAGAGGCCATCGCAGAAGGGGCCCAGGTGTGTATGGGTGTGGGCAGGGTGGCCTCCCCAGGATCAGCCAGGAGTGAGTCATACCGGCCAGAGCAGAGGGCCTCACACTTTCTTCCAGCCCAACTCAGAGTCCCAGAACCCCTCACTGCTACCAGATACTCTGGTTTTGCTTGTTTTTCGTCTGTACAGTAGAAATGGCTTTATTTTTAAATTATTTTTTAATATAAAAAGAATATACCATGCAGTTGGATCTTGGGAGTCAGGTTCTAAAGGCAGATCATAGGTAGTGTGATGGAAGAGATCTGAGCTGCGTGAGACTGGGGAAGGGTCAGTTGAGGCCAAGTCAGACAAGATCCAAAGGTCACGTTGAAGAGTTACACTTTCTTTTGTTCTAAGAATAATTGGAGATACGTGCTCAGTCATGTCCCGACTCTTTGCAACCCTATGGACTGTAGCCACCAGGCTTTTCTGTCCCTGGAATTTTCTAGGCAAGAATTCTGGACTGGGTTGCCATTTCCTGCTCCAGGGGCTCTTCCCAACACAGAGATCAAACCTGCATCTCCTGCATTGGCAGGTGGATTCTTTTCCACTAGCCCCACCTGGAGATACAGAAGATATAGGGTTAAATTTGACATTTCAAAAACCATCATTTTGGCTGCTGGATGAAAGAAGGATTAGAGGCAGAGCAAGTCACTGGGGCCTGCTGCCAGTCATGCAGGAGAGAGGAGGGCTTTCTGACCTAGAACAGTGCAGTGAACATGGAGACGGGTGGTAGAATGACATAGGAGGGTGTGACTGAGTTGCCTGTCGGTTTGCATGTGTGGGTAAGTGGTGGTGCCGTTTTCTAAGATTAGGGCCCCTGAAGAGGTCCAAGTCTGAGGAAGGATCATGGGTACAGTCCTGACCTTTGTTGTGTCTAAGGGATCTTTGGGTCAGCCAGTGGGAAACCTCGAGCACACAGGCCTGAAACTGGAGGAACTGCCTGGACTAGAGTATATGTATGTGATCATTAAACCAGGGACGTGAGGGAGATTGCCTCGGGTGGCACGAGTGTGAGTATGCCAGGAATGTCATGTGAAAAGAGAGAGGAGTCTAGGTTCTCAGGGACCGCTGACATTGCAGGTGGGTGAAGCAGTGTGGGGTGGCAGAGGAGACTGAGGTGGAGAAGTCTGGCTCTGGAGGCCAAGCAGCAACATGTGGACGGAGCTACTAGACATCAGTGACTGCAGGATCAGCCATCGGAGGGGAGTACAGGTCAGCAGAAATGGGGTGGGTTGAGGGGTGAGCGGAGGATAAGGAAATGGAGAGGCATGTGGCTGGGAGGGGGTAGAGGAGAGCTAGTGTACAAGCTAGTGTATGAGCAGGGGAAGTGGGATGGAAGTTGGAGCCGGGGGATGCAGAAACACAGGTGATAGTAACACCTGTTACCATCAGGAGAAACACAGGAGAAACGGCAAAATTTTAAATCTGAGTTTCCTTGAAGGCAAGACTTATGAAGTCCAGAAAACAGATGGAAAGACTGGCCTTCGATGTATTAGAGGCAAAGCTGGAGAAGACAGCTGCAGATTTAGTTTCTAGAAGAATCTTTTGAGTTCCCAGGGAATGGCCTCTGTTTTCTCTGAAGTAGGTGTGGTTGTCTCATGAACCTGAAGTTAGGAAAAAGTGGTAAGACACAAAGATTTGGAGGTGGCAGGGGAGGTTTGAGAGAATCATTAGAGAAAGGTGCGGCACCTGTAGAGAACAGAAATGTAACAGGATTGTTTGGGAAAATCTGATTAAACGACATAAGTACATTTCTGGTTGGTGTCTTCAGGACAGATTCTGAGAGGCGGAGTTGGTCTTTCAGGGAGTGTGTCAATCAGAAGAAATCACCTGAATAGAGAGAATTTAACACGAAGCGTTGTTAACTAGATGTGACATTGGTAACCAGGTAGCCGAAAAGATAAAGAGAACATTAAGGTATGCTACCTAAAGGTAGCAGCTACAGAGAGTAGCTCTCATCCTGTTCTCCTGCACTGGCAGGCAGATTCTTTACCATTGAGCCACCAAGGAAGCCCAAAAAGGCTGGGTGCTTCCGCCAGAAGAGAATTCCTTCCCGACTCCCAGCGGTGGGGATTTTTAAAGTCTTTTTGTTTCTCTCTGTCCTCCGTCCCTGCTGTCATCAGGGTTCTTCCGACCGTAGCTGCTCAGTGACTCTTGTTTATCAGGATTAGTAAAAGATCTCTGTTGCTTTGTTAAATAACCCCTTGACAACTCAGTAAGAAAAGTTTGTGGGTTCTTTTTTTTTTTAAATAACCGAGAGACCTACTTTCCAAGAGATTTAGGTTAAGTGAGCTAGAAAGAGGTTTTTCCAACGCCCTTTTCACAACAATTACAGTTCTAGGTTACAAGTGTTAGAACTCAGCTCTGAACTGGCTCAAGCAAGACATAGAGTGTTTCAGCTCATTTAATAACAGAAAAGGTTGAAAGTGGCTGTGGCTCAGCATTCTTATCTTGTGCTGCTGGGAGCTATCTCCATGGCATTATCTGCTTTGCTATCCACTCCATGATCTTCATTCTCAGCAGGGGCTTCCCATGAGTTGAGAGAGTCAGCAACCCCAGAGGAGAGTCCCTCTTCCCTGTCGGTACTAGCAGAATTCCGGAGACAGCCTCGTAAGACTAGATTTGGTCACGTGCATGTCCCAGAACTAGGCGCTATGAACTCCACACATGCAGGCTTGGATCCCCTGCTTTGCATCACACCCGGGGTCCTGAGGGAGTGTGGAGGGACTAGTGGTCAGTTTCTCCCAGATCGCGTGGACCAAGAATGAGGAGTGGGGGTGTCTCACTGAAAGCCAAGCTGCTGGTGCCAGGAGAAGAGGTGCTAGTGATGAACAGGCAGCCCGCGGCCACTGCACCTGCCCGCCACTTCCCTTTTTTCCTTCTCGCCCTCTGTAGTCCCTGGGTCTCTCCAGTGCAGCCGCCAGCATGTTTGGGAATGACGGCAGTGAGCTGATCCTGCATTTCGTGACCCAGTGCAATGCTCGGCTCACCCGTGTCCTGGAGGAGGAGCAGAAGCTGGTACAGCTGGGCCAGGCAGAGTAAGTCCCATGGCGTCATTGCTCGGGGTAGCAGCTGAGGATGGGAGGACTCAGGCCCCACCAGCTGTCCCCAGGAGGCCAGTCCAAGCAGAGCCTGCAGAGTAGCACTGAGCACCCCAGCTGCTCCAATGGGACGGAAATATAGCTGCCCGTCTCGTTCTAGCTGGTGGAACCCTCTCCGCTAGAACCGAGTAGACGGGGTAGCACTGAGCTCATGCCTTTGACCCAGAGACACTCTGTTTTCTTTTTTCTCTTCCAGGAAGAAGAAGACAGACAAGTTCCTGAGGGATGCCGTGGAAACCAGACTGAGAATGTTGATCCCATACATTGAGCATTGGCCCCGGGTACATGGTCCACCCACATCCAGGCCCCAGAATGACAGTGTGTTCATGTTTATGATTCTTAGCACCTTCACACGGAAGGTCTGGCACGATGTTCAGAAGTTGGCTTGTTAGTCTCCGCAGACCCAGGGATGTGCAGTGTACTTGGTACTCTAGGTGTCAGATTGAGGAGAACCGAAGAGAGGGCCTTCTGAGCCGTCTGTGTCTTGGTTCTTGGAGATGTGAGTGGCCTGGTCCTAGATCACGTCCTGGTGGTCTGCTAGTGGCCCGAGTATGTCGCTTGGTTTTTGGTGAGGAGGGCTCCATGAAGGAGATTAGAAGTTGGAAGATTTTACTGACCATCATCATTAACAGGCCTTTTGCATTCTAGATCTCAGGGGAGCGGGACTTCTTTTCAGTCTGTCAGTGTGATGCTTAGAGAATTGGAGTGTTCATTCCAAGGGCTTTCCCCAACTTTCCTAAAGCTCCGTTTTTCCTCCTCCTCTTTTCAAAGTGCGTCACAATGTGGGCTATTCTCGGTTAAGAAAGTCAAGATATAGCAGAACTAAGAGGACTCACAGATCAACTGGTATCCGCTGCCCAGCTTGGAGATGGTTGGATATTTATTTATTTTTTTTTTTGGGGGGGGTTGATAAATTTTATTTAAGAACTTATACAAATATTCCCGTTTGAGTTTTAGTCCTCATCTTCCTCCTCTTCTTCATCTTGATTAATCTGGAAGTAACACAATTCACAACTTTCTTTGCTGTTAGCAACTACGTGTAACCAATCTCGTAGATGATTATTCTTCAAATATTTTTTGGTAAGATATTTCAAATACCTTTTGGAAAAGGGCACCTCGAAAGTTACAGCAATCTTGCTCTTGCTTCTTTCGATTGTTACAACACCGCCACCCAGGTTGCCAGCTTTTCCATTCACCTTAATCCTCTCCTGAAGAAACTGCTCAAAATTGGCAGCATCCATGATTCCATCTTTTACAGAGTGGGTACAGTCCAGAGTGAATTTTAGGACTTGCTTCTTTTTTTGCCCCCCTTCGCCACAAGCTTTTTCACAGGCGCCATGGTGGCAGCGGAGGCAGAAAGGCGATGGTTGGATATTTAATTTCAGCTGTGGGCCAGGTGTGAGGGAGATCAGCCCAGAGTCAAGGCCCGCCCCCTGCCTGTGCTCGAATACTCGATTTCTTGGACTGACTCATTCCACCTTGCATTTAAAGTCTCACAAGTGCATGAAGTAGGCCCTGGTTGCCTTCTTATTCAGCATGTTTCCTCCTGGGCTATTTCAAGATAACTTTCCAGCCAATCAGGGACATCTCTCACCAACTCCTACAGGCCACAGCCAGTGGGTTTCAGAGTTGGTAAAGTGACCACCCTTGGATTGTCTGGTGTTGATATCTGCTAATGGAGGCATCTCTGGGTTGTGCCACTACTTATATGAAAGGATTTTGAGGTCTCAGGTAACAGAAATCAATTTGAGTTAGGGGAAAAAAAAAAAACTGGAAGGAGTTTCATCATGAGCTGCAGCAGAGCATCAAGGGCAGGAATGCTGTTGGGCTCCAGGATGGCCTAGAATCGGGGCCTAGAAACCTCCCCCAGACTCCCCTCCTACCCCTGCTTCTTTCTCCATGTTACAGAATGGGGGTGCCCTCCTCCATACTTACTCAAAGACACCAGGCTAGACCTGGCTGTCTGCATTCCCAAGTTCACATGCCAGGGATTGAGGGTCTGACTGGGCAGTGGAGGGTACTCTGCCTCGGCTCCCATAAGCCGTATTTGGGAGGGAGCCTTAGACGCCAGGAGCTCGCAGCAGTGGGTCGAGATGGTGCATCTCAGAAGGAGGGCTGGGCAGGCCCCTTACTGCCTCTACCGAACAGTGAGGCGTTGTCACTACTGTGTGCAAGTACCCCTTCCTGTGTCATCTCTCCCCAGGCCCTCAGCATCCTCATGCTCCCTCACAACATCCCGCCCAGCCTGAACCTGCTGACCAGCATGGTGGATGACATGTGGCATTACGCCGGGGACCAGTCCACTGATGTGAGTGCTCTCCTCAGGCCCGCAGAGGGTGGGGATGGCTAGGTTAAGCATTTCCTCCCGAAGTTTGTGAAATTTCTTTGATCACACATCCCTTCAGGGGGACTCCAGAGTCATTCCGATGTTGGAAGGAGAGGTTAACGTTTGAAGAGGGTCCCTCAACAAGCCACAGCAGCCTCTAGGTCATCTTCATTCAGGGACCAGTGCTATAGCCACGCATCAATGCTCCTTCCCCCTAGAGTGTGATACACGGCATCAGGGCTGATTGGGCTACCGTTTTATAGTCATTTTCCCCTCAGTCTCTTAAGATTTAGATTCTGGCAGACTTCCTCAGTGTATGTCTTTTATGAGACTGATTTAAAAAAAAAAAAAGAATGCCACAGACACCCTCTAAGACATTTTTTTTAAGACATTGCTTTAAAAAGAAACTCCCTTCCTGCAGCCCATCTTGGCTTGCTTTGCTCAGAGATCAGTAAGCCTCTAAACAGGCAGCCGGAAAGATTCTGACTTATTAATACTATCATATTTCTGGTAGAAAATTAAAAATGTATATATCTCCACCTTCATAAATTAATATGCAATGGTACTTTGTGGGATCCAGGATGGAAGGCAGGGAGATGCTTCCACCACAGTTCTAACAAAGTGCTTTAATAAACTTACTTCATACGGGACTATACCACCAACAGAGATAGTTGGAAAATGAAATTAGAAAGCCCAGAAATCAGGGAGGTAAAACAGGAAGCAGCCAAGCTAGCGCTCTGAAGAGCGGTTGGCCAGGAGAGCCACAGCCAGAAGTTGCTGAAGGACCTGAACGCTCAGCTCCTCCCAGGTGTTCCAGTCTGTGCCTGACGCTGCCTCAAGCCCTCACATCACTGATGGATGACACAAGGTTTAGTCATAACTGCCTGATCACAGAGCCTCCCTGGAACTTAGACCCCATGGACTGTTGCCCGCCAGGGTCCTCTGTCCATGGAATTCTCTAGGCAAGAATACTGGAGTGGATGGCCATTCCTTTCTGCAGGGAATCTTCCCTACCCAGGGATCAAATCTGGGTCTCCTACATTGCAGGCAGATTCTTTACCATCTGAGCCACCAGGGAAACCTGAAAATTACATGAGATCTTTGTGACCCAACGGACTGTAGCCCTCCAGGCTCCTGTGTCCACAGAATTCTCCAGGCAAGAATACTGAAGGGGGTAGCCATAACCCTTCTCCAGGGGATCTTCCCAACCTAAGAATTGAACCTGGGTCTCCTGCACTGCAGGCAGATTCTTTACTATCTGAGCGATGAGGGAGATCCCTAGATGTCCGGAGACTTGGGCTTTTCACTGGTGGGTTCGAAGCTAAGCAGATGTAGCAAAGTCACGTGGGATGCTTAATAAACATCCAGATCCTGGCACTTAACTTCAGACCTGCTGACTCTGAGCTCTAAGAGGTTGGGCCCAAGAGCCTGCATTTTCAATCTCCCAGGTGATTCTGACACCCAGCCTAGTTTGGAAACAGCCACGTTGTCCAGAGGGCCACGTGTATCCGTGAGGGGAAGAGGAAGTCAGGAGGGAGCCCAGGAGTGCCAGGGGCTTTGGGTAGGAACCACTCAGACTTCCCCCAGCCTGCAGCATCAGTGGTGACCTATCTATCCCCCTGGATGGGTTTCTCTGCAGTTTAACTGGTACACCCGCCGAGCGGTGTTAGCTGGCATCTACAATACCACTGAGCTGGTGATGATGCAGGACTCCTCCCCAGACTTCGAGGACACCTGGCGCTTTCTGGAAAACCGAATCAGCGATGCAATGAACATGGGCCACACTGCCAAGCAGGTAGCTCGGGGCTCGGCATCTGGGAAGCCTCCTCACTAGGCGCTCTGTCCTCTCGGGCCAGACTCGTCACCTGTCTGTTCTTTTGCTCCCCTTGGGCCTCAGTTGACAGTCCCCAGGGCCTTCACAGGGAGCCTGACTGGTTCTTCTTCACCCAGCCCTTATCTAAGAGCTACATGTGGTCCCTTGGTTACTGTGTTAGCTGTAGGGTCTTCTTCCAGGACACAGGGCCCTGTTGATTCTACCTGTAGGGACTAGTAAGCCTACTGATCAGACCTCCCTGTCTCACGTCTGAGCAGTGGTGGGGGCCTGAGAGAACCTGACTCTGACTCCTCCTAGGTCAAGTCCACCGGAGAGGCCCTGGTGCAAGGACTCATGGGTGCAGCAGTGACAGTGAGTACCTTCCAGCTTGTCCCTGCCCAGCTGGCTCCAATCCTGTGATTCCTCACACATGTCATTCACCCCAAGTAGTTTTGTAGTGAGTGGTTAAATTGGGGAAGCTAATCTTAGGCCTGGCAGTGGTTCAGTCCCAATCTCTAGATCCCAAATATCCCACTCTGTTTGTTACTGGCATGAAGACAAAACTTAGGCCTAGGACCCTGGTACATCAGATCTCCACATCATAGCCACACAGGCTGCCTCGGAAATCTCAGTCTTTGCCATTGGAGTCCTGGGAGCAGGGCCAGGTCTCATCACTGTCTGTTTCCATCCTGTTGTCAGCTCAAGAACCTGACAGGCCTAAACCAGCGCCGGTGAGCAAGAAGGGCTGTAAGCTAGAGTAACCAGAAGAATACCCACGGATATATTTAAAGGGCTTTGAAACACACACGGCGCCACCCATGGAATAGGGTGTCAACGAGAAAGCGCCAAAGGACTGCAGCACTACCACAGCCACCTGGAAACCACAGGGCACTGGACAACACAGGCGTAGCCCAGGGTTGGGCCGCTTCTTCAGTTCCTAATGCCAGGACAGACCTCCGGATGCCTTTTGGCATCATGGCTATGTGACCGAAAAACGCGGCACTCAAGCATTCACGTCACAGAAGCCCCCCCACATCCCTCTCATGGCCTCTCAGGCACCGCGACCATGTCTTAACCTGCCCGTGGGGCTCGCAAGTCAGGGTCTGGGTCTGAGGCCACCGCAGGTGGCAGCCCCCCACAGCACAACGCAGGCCTGTGGGTTCAACGCTCCAGTGTCCTGAGTCGTTGCGCCAGGAAACCCCCTGGGCAGGCCACCTCACCTGAGACAGGTGCTCAGCGTGGCCAGAGGTGTGGTCCCAGGCCCTGTGTTGCGTTAAAACAGCACTTGTTGCAGGATTATTAGTGAACTTAGAGTCTGTAAAAAATTGAACTTAGAGTCTGTAAAAAATTATAATAAATATCTTTGAAGCAGTTTCCTGTTGTGTAGGAAATTTTCATACAGACCATGCCAGCTGTCCAAGACCCCAGAAGCAGAGAGCAGGGTGGCAGAGAAGGCTTGAAACTGGCAGCCAAGAGACCTGAGTTAGGGTCCCGGTGCCATGTAATGCTCCTGGGCAGCTGTGAGAGTTCTGCACCCATGGGCCCGGGCCTCCCTTCAGTAAAATGTGGGTCACAGGGGTCTTTCCCTCTCCCGGTTAGCTGCTTTGGCTCCTCCTGTCCATCACTATTTCCTTGACACAGTATTTTGCTTTACAAATTCTCTTAGCCTCTGTGCTGGCTGGGCCCCCTATTTAAGTCCAGTTAACTTTGTTGTATAAGTCTGTTCAGGCTGCTGTGGTGAAATGTCTCACAGTTCTAGAAGCTAGAAGTCCACAGTCAAGGTGCCAGCTAACTTGATTCTTAGAGCTTTCTTCTGACTCACACATGGCCCCCTTCTCCTTGCATTCTCACAGAACAGAGAGCGTGCAAGTGTGCTCTGTTGTCTCTTCCTGTTTTTGTTAGGGCACTAATCTCCTGAGAGTTCTATCCTCAGGACCTCATAAAGACCCCCATTTCCAAATATCCTCACATTAGGAGTTGGGGCTTCAACATTTTGGTACACACAGGATCTAGCAGCCATCTGTCTTCTACTTTGCTGTGTCCTCCCCAAGTAGACTGAATGATGGTGGGAGTAACAGCTAGTAGGAATTTCCTGTCTCTTGTGCACTTTCCTCTGGGCCCTTTCTGCACCTGATTCTTTTATCTTGACATCCTGTCAAGTTGCCTGCAGTAGCTATCCCATATTTTGTTCCATTCCCTCTTTTATCCTTTATAGCATCCATCTTACACTCAACAGACAACCTTAATTCTTAATTTACTGAGATGATACAGGCTTTAGTGCAAGAATCCCCTTAATGCTCTTTTTCTCTGTCTCAAATGTCAGTCCTTGCTAAGGCAAACGCCTCTTTATCCCCTCTGATTATTCTTTCTCTGCCCCCTACATGTTGTCCCCTGCCAAGTTCTATTTTAGGACTTCTCTGTATAATCTGCTGCCTCCTGGGAATTCCCTGGCAGTCCAATGGTTAGAATTCTACTTCATTTCAGGGGACATGGATGTGGCACAACCAAAAGCAAAAAAAGACCTATCAAACCTCTTTCCAGGCTGTTTAAGGCACTGCGTACTATGTGCATGTAGCCTACATGTGCCCTCGCATATAATTTAAATTATCTTTCGGTTACTTACAGTACCTAATACAATGTTTGCTAGTGCTAAGTCGCTTCAGTTGTGTATGACTCTGTGTGACCCCAGAGACAGCAGCCCACCAGGCTCCCCCATCCCTGGGATTCTCCAGGCAAGAACACTGGAGTGAGTTGCCATTTCCTTCTCCAATGCATGAAAGTGAAAAGTCAAAGTGAAGTCGCTCAGACGTGTCCTACTCTTTGCGACCCCATGGACTGCAGCCTACCAGGCTCCTCCATCCATGGGATTTTCCAGGCAAGAGTGCTGGAGTGGGTTGCCATTGCCTTCTCCAAATACAATGTTTAATGCTATGGTAAATAGTTGTAAATGCTATATAAATATTTGCTGGTCATGCAGCAAATTTGTTTTTGAAGCTTTATGGAATTTTATCTTCAGTTGGTTGGATTTAAAACCCTTGCATATGGAGGATCAACTACTTTCGTTCATCCACAAATTTACACACTTCATTCTTTTAAAAAAACGTTACAGTATTCCTGTGTTTGTGTATTTAACCAGGTCTCTGTCAATGGGAAAATTTTATTTATTTTTTGCTACAGACTGCTGCAGTGAACGTGTCTGTACATGTATCTTTGCTTACAACTGCAAATGCTTCTACAGTATGGATTCCTAGAAGTGTTCCTGTGGAATCAAGGGCGTGTGCATGCTTTGCCAGATCGCCCTCCAAATGGTTGAACCTGGTGCCTCTTCAAGAAGGTGGGAGGGGTGCGTAGAAAACTTCGGGCCTCCGAGCAGCAGGCGGCGCTGTGAGCGCCCCACCGCCCCCGTGGCAAAGGCCCCGCTGACGGACTTCCGCTGGTGGGGTTGGCGCAGGCCGGGCAGAGCTGACGCCAGGGGCCGAGCGAGCGGCGGTGCGCGATGCCGTACGCCAACCAGCCTACCGTGCGGATCACGGAGCTCACCGACGAGAATGTCAAGTTCATCATCGAGAACACGGACCTGGCGTAAGGCTTGCGGGGAGAGGTTTACTGTTCTGGAGAGCCGGGGGCCCCAGCCTGCGGGACGTCGTGTTTTTTCAGAACCGGCTCCCGGGCCAGGGCTTCCGCTTTGGGCACGGTGGGGCGCGAGCCCAGCCTGTCGAGGCTGCGGTGCCCACACGCCGCTTGGTTTTCATTCCTCAGGGTGGCAAATTCTATCCGGAGGGTCTTCATCGCTGAGGTGCCCATAATAGGTAAGCGACCCCAGTCTCGTTGCCTGGGCTGCCAGGCCTCTCTCCCCTCCACCCCACCCCTACCCTTACCTTGCAGCTCCTGCCTCCAGCCTTGGTTTGGGCGAGGGATTGGGGGCGCTAAGAGAACAGTCATGCTGGAGGCTTGATCGGGCCCTTGGCCCAGGGCCACTCTGGCCACCTCTCCGACTCCCACGGGCTATTTACTTAGTTCCATTCTTTTCCGTGCGTTGGTGACGCGCATGGGTTCAGGAGTCTGTGGCGTGGGACTCAGAAACTGTTTGACTTACTATCGCTGCGAAACTTGGGCAAAGTGTTAAACGCTGTTGCAGCCCCCTCTCTAATGTTCGGACGCTAATAGCAGTTGTCAGAGCGACGTCAACGATTAAGGGGAATAATCTCTGTGCCTTGTGTTCAGTGAGGGTCCAGTGCCCGTAGATGTGAATCTGTTCCGTCAGCTGCATTTTGGGAGCGTATAAGCTCCAGGCAGTGGTGCTAGGCACTGGAAACGCAGACCTGTAAAATACAGGGTTCTTTAGGAGTTCATCTTCAGTTGCTCAGCTGTGTTCGACTCTGCGACCCCATTGACTGTAGCCCACCAGGCTCCTCTGTCTGTGGGATTCTCCAGGCAAGAATGCTGGAGTGGGTGGCCATTTCCTTCTCCAGGGGATCTTCCCAACCCAGGGATCAGACCCTCTTCTCCTTCATTTGCAGGCAGATTCTTTTAGGATTTAAGGAGAACCATAGCTACAGTGGCTTTGATGCTTAGAGGAGAAAGGATCTGTTTCTGCTTTGGTTCCAGCTACTCTTCACTGAGTGTTCTGCCTGTCTACAGATATACTACAAATATTTTCTGAGTGTCAACTCAGAGTTTGGTTTAGGAAAAAGAGATATAAGCCATAGTTAACACATCAAATGTGCAAATTCCTAAGGAGATAAACAGGCCAACTGGTTGGTAAGCAAGAGAACATTGTAGTTTTTCCACCATTACCACCCCCCGGAGACTTTTTCTTTTTTTTTTTTTTTTTCCCCATTTATTTTTATTAGTTGGAGGCTAATTACTTTACATCATTGCGGAGACTTTTTCAACTCAGAGCGTGGAGTGCTGGTTCTCCTTCTCTGCCTGATCACCCCGTGGGGTCTCAGGACCTTAGTTTCATCATGAGTGAAATGAGGCCGTTGTGCTTTAGGATGCAGCCCTGACATTCCAAGCGCCACTTTTCCCACAAGTAGCATGAAGCACCTCCTGCAATCCAGACCTCAGCTAGGAATACAGGAATTAAGACATCTGAAGACCCAAAGAATTTTTGAAGCTTGAAGTGGAAGCAAGATGCACACAAATATAATGCAGTTTGACAAGTGTCTTAAGAGAAGTCTGGACAGAGTTCTAGGAGAGAGTAGCTTCTTCCAGGGAGAGTGTTCATCTCTGTATCACAGAGGATGGGCAAGGCCTGGTTTATAGGAAGCTCACAGGATTTTAAACTGCACGGGAGACGTTAAAGGCAGGCCAGTGGGAGGAAAGGCAGAGACAGAAAAGCTTGTCTCTTAGTCCTTACTTGGCTCAGGTTTAGGAAGCAGAAGGACAAGCAGGTGGGGTTCTGGTGGTGTCTGGTCCTCTATTCCTAGTGTCTGCACCCCTCATTGGACAGTTGGTCTCCACTGCCCTTTGACTTTTGAATTTATTTGTTTATATACAGATATTTATGAATGAATGAGTAAATGTGTGTTTAAGTCAACTATGTGTGACTACCGTTCTCCTCGCTCATGGCTGGTAGGGATTAGTATGCCTTACCCATTAAAGGAATTGTGTAAACATTATTTGGTTGAATGATAATTAAGTATTAATTTGGGTAATCTAGTCATTATATCACAAAAGGAGTAACATAAGTCTATGTTACTTCTCTGAGGTTTGTCCAGCTTTCAAGTGCCCAAATAGTTTGTGTTCTTACTGGTGTTAGCATGAGTAGCAGGTTTAAGTGCTTCCCACAGAAATATTCAGCTCTAAGAAACACGTTCCCATTCTCGTGGTATCTTTAGGTCAGTATTTTTAGGGTAATACAGGGAACTCTCTGCATCATAACTGCCTGAGCAGGGAAGTGCGATGCGTTGTGTGGTTCTTATTAAAATGCATTTTCCTGGGCCCCACTCCAGAGCTGTGGAATCAGAGTCTCTGGAAGCCTGACTCAGCCTCTGCAATTTAGTAAGCACTAGATGATTTAGAGGGGCTCAGATGGTAAAGAATCTGCCTCAGTGCAGGAAGCCCCCGGGGTTCGATCCCTGGGTCAGGAAGATTCTCTGGAGAAGAGCATGGCAACCTACTCCAGTATTCTTGCCTGGAGAATCCCATGGACTGAGGAGCCTGGCAGGCTACAGTCCATGGGATTGTGAGGAGTCAGACACGACTGAGCAACTAACACTTTCAGATGATTTTTAAATCTGGAAAACCAGTGCTAAGTCTTTAGGTGAATTTGGTGGCTAATCTGCCTGTCTGCTTTTTCTGCTTCCTTCATTCTTTAGCAATTGACTGGGTTCAGATTGATGCCAATTCCTCCGTCCTTCATGACGAGTTCATTGCTCACAGACTTGGTGAGTGCTGGGTTTGGAGGGTTACAGGGAGGGGTGCCAGTGTCAGAGGAAGAAGTATCCTCACTCCCAGGGGGACTTCTGGACTCTCCTTCCAGCTTGGCCCCTTGGCCTTCTTCAGTGTGCTTTTCTGTCTTCCAGGATTAATCCCTCTCACCAGTGATGACATTGTGGACAAGCTGCAGTACTCCCGGGTATGCTGTGTGCTTGGGGAGCTCGGGGGAGGCAGGGGACTCAGTTCCCAAGGAGATTTTTTCTTACCATCTCGATTTCAGCTTTTAGAAAGACAGTGTGGAGATGTTGTCTGGAGCCCAAGGCAGGCATCGGTCTTTGGTTCTGATGGGACCACAGATTGATGAGGCTCAAGGGCATCAGAGAGTCTCATTAGCCAGAGAGGACATACACCTGGATGCTCATTTATACCGAATGGGTGGAGCTGTTTCTCTTCAGCATCCGATGTGCAGTGTTTTCCAGAGCATCTCTTCCCAGGGACAGGGGCCTAGGAGGCTAAAGGGAATAAAGAGAAGGATAGCAGGTGAGGACAGGGAGCAGAGGGAGTGAGAACTGTTCTGCAGAGCAGCAGCTGTCTGCCAGCTTTATGCCTCACCCTGTAGGTTGTCTTACTGAAACATGGCTCCATTCCTCTGGGGTGATGTTTGCTGCTTCCATGATGTGGTAACAGACTCAGAACTAGGGAGCGTGTAGGATAGGGTTAGGTTACCTGCATCCTTTCATCGGAGCTGCGTTAGTTGACAGCTTGAGAGTATTCCTTCTTCTTGATGGCTTTAGGTGGTCCTGAATCAACCCCTTTTCTGGTATTCCTAGGGACACATCATTTTGGTGTGTTAATGGCTAATTTGATATATTTCGTAAATGTATATGTGTGTTGCTGTTTGTTTTATTAATTTTTTATTTTTGGCTGTGCTGGGTCTTTGTTGCTGCTCAAGCTATTTCCAGTCACATTGAGCAGGGATAGTCCTGGTTGCAGTGTGCAGGCTTCTCTCTGTGATGGCTTCTCGTTGGGAGCACTGGCCCCAGGCTCATGGGCTTCAGTAGCTGTGGCACAGACTCGGTAGTTGCTGCTTGCTGGCTCAGTAGTAGTTGTGGTGCACAGGCTTAGTTGCTCCACAGAATGTGGGATCTTCCTGGACCAGGGATTGAACCTGTGTCCCCTGCGTTGACAGGTGGATTCTTATCCACTGCGCCACTTGGGAAGTCCATATATGTGTTTTTTTTTAAAAATATTCAAGCACACAGCAAAGTGTGGAGCTAATAAAACAAATAGGCTTGCTGCCGCCAAACCACTTGTCACATTTTGACGTTTCATCATTTTTGCTTCATGTCCCCAGAGTCTGTTTTTAAGAAATAAAACATCACATATATTGGTAAAGACAGTTGTACCACCGATTGAAGAGCAGTTAGTCCATATCTTACATAAAGATATGCATCCCCCGTGACCTAACAGTTCTTCCATTAAATTTTTTTCTAGTATTGCATTCACTGAATGAAGATGGTGTGGATTTTTCATTTGTGTTTTCTTAAAATTTGCAGAAAAGTTAAAAATAGAATACATACTCATTCTCATTTCACTTTTAATTTCCAGTTGTTGATACGTTGCTATATTTGCTTTATGCTTCGTATAGATGTTGTGATTTTTGCTAAACCATCTGAAAGAAGTTACAGAAATCATGATACTTCTCCCCTAACTACATCAGCATGCCTGTCCTGAAAATACAGATATTCTTACCTAACTACAATATTATGCCTAAGAAAATTAGTATGGATTTGTACTATCTATATACAGTCTAAATTCAGGTTTTCCTAGTTATTCTCAAAATGTCCTTAATTGTTTTTTGGTTTGGCTGAACTGCTTGGCTTACCAGAGCTTAGTTCCCCCACCAGGGTTTGGACCCCACACCCTCAACAGAGAAAGGGCAGAGTCCTAACCACTGGACTGCCGAGGAATTCCCCCTAGTTGGCTTTTTGTTTGTGGATCTGTGATGCATGCATTGCCTTTGGTTGCTAGTGTCTCTTTAGTGTCTTGATCTCTTGAATAGACTCTTCTCTTTTCATTGTACTTTTTTTTTTTAGGTCTAGTACCTTTTTATATTTTTGTCTTCCATTACATTTTGATTCTTTAATTTCATATTTCTAAGAGTGATTCCATCTCAAGGGTCTAGGTTGCCTTCCTGTCCCACCTGTGTGTGATTACAGGCTGGCCAGGTATGGCCCATAGATTTCCTTCATCGTCTTGAAAACGTCAAAAGTAGCTTGGATTTTCCTCACTAATGTGAGGGGAGAACAGTTTGCTTGACTACATTCTAGTAACTCTCTTCTTGCCTGAAGTTAAATGGTAGCAGCTAGTCTCCTAAGACGGGAGTGTTTCAAGAATCAGTTTAAAGAATGGCAAACTTGAGAATTATTAAAGCTGAGCGATACATGGTGGCAGTCTGTTATACCCTTCTCTGCTTTTGTGAGTGTATGAAACTTCTTTAGAAAAGGTCAGTAGTCTGGAGCTTAAAAGGTACTTTTTTCTCTTGTCCCCTAGATTGTTTTAAGTGGTCATTGCACTCCCAAGCTAGTTCCAGCTCATGGATACTGAACTATGCGGGATGAAAGCCTTCTCTGTTAGTGCCTTGGTTCTCTGAGGAAGAGCCGTTTAGCAGCCCAAGAGTGGTGTGTAGATGGACACAGCTGACCAGAGACTGGCGGCTGTGGTCCACCCTTTCATCAGATGAAGAACCTTCAGGGACAGGGTATTAGAAGCAGGGAGCCAAGCCAGACTTCACCGTCTCCCCAGAGCCCCACTGCTGTCTCTCTCCCGCCTCAGGACTGCACGTGTGAAGAGTTCTGCCCCGAGTGCTCGGTGGAGTTCACTCTGGACGTGCGGTGCAACGAAGACCAGACACGTCACGTCACGTCTCGAGACCTCATCTCCAACAGCCCCCGGGTCATTCCGGTCAGGAAGGCCTCCCTGTTGGGACCTTGGCTGTTCTCCTGACTCCAGTGGGCCAAATTGGGGTGGATTCTTGGAAGATGCCAACTTCCCTGTGTTACCCTCTGCCTTAACGTGAGCCTGATGCTTAGAAGTGCTAATGATTCTGGACCCTTGCCAGGATGGGCAGAAACATTGGTGCTGTGGGCCCTCTGCCCCCTTGGGACCCTTTTGAAGACCGTGCTACTGTTTTGACCAAGGAAGTTGTCACAGCCATAAGATAGGGGTTAGAGGCCAGTCACCAGCACAGACGGGATCCCTGGAGGTGCTGGGAGATTTCCAGATGAGATGAGCAGCTGCTAATAAATGGCTCTGTTTGGATTCCCTGCAGGTGACATCTAGGAACCGAGATAATGACCCCAACGACTACGTGGAGCAGGACGGTAAGGCGCCCCGAGAGAGGCAGAGACCAGAGCTAGCCCCTCGTGTTGTCTGGTCTTCCAGGGGCTGCAGGTCAGACCGGAGAACTGTGCCTCTGCCGGCCCTCAACTGACTCGCCTGTCCCCACAGACATTCTCATCGTCAAGCTGAGAAAGGGCCAGGAGCTGAGACTGCGCGCCTACGCCAAAAAAGGCTTTGGCAAGGAACACGCCAAGTGGAATCCGACTGCAGGAGTGGCTTTTGAGTATGACCCTGACAATGCCCTGAGGCACACGGTGTACCCCAAGCCGGAGGAATGGTATGTTCCTGGTGGGAGCGAAGGCCGGGTGGGCGGGCGGGTGTGGAAGTGGCTCCTAGTGACCCAGATGGGGCAACCTGACTATGAGACACGGGTCCCCTGAATGCGGCCGTAGCAGTGCTTTGCTGACCTCTGTTTGACCTCAGGCCAAAGAGTGAGTACTCGGAGCTGGATGAGGATGAGTCGCAGGCCCCCTACGACCCGAACGGCAAGCCAGAGAGGTAAGACCCTAGTTTGGCACTCAAAGGTCGTGTGTGTAAGAACATACAGATCTGGTGCAGCCTCTGAGTTAGGAGCCCTTTTCCCTTCCATCCAGTTCCCCTCAGCTGAGGAGGGGCTGGTAACTGCTAAGCCCCCCATAAGTCCCCCTTTTGGTCACTGGGAGAAGGGGGCCCTCCAGTTTTCCAGACTGTTCCTATGGTGATTATTCAGCCCCCAAAGAAAAATCAACATAAGATCAAACCTAGGGCCCCAAACTGTCCAAAGCCTTCTAGTGACAAACATGAAAACGCTGCAGCAGGTGGCACTGCTTATTTTTCTCTCTTCACCTCTGGAATGTGTCTATGCACAAGTGTTTTGAGATTTTCACACAATATCTTTTTGAGGCAGCTGTGGCCCTCTTGAGGTCTACAGAGTGCACTGGGACCACTGTTTTTAAGGAGCTGGATGGAGGTCAGCCCTGGGACAAGGTCAAATCCATAGGGAGAAAGGAGTCAGGACCTAGGAGGGAGAGAGGCCCTGGGCACAGCTGGGGCCGCTGGCCTGAATGCCTCGTGGAGGGCCCTCACTGGACTCTCGCCTCTCAGGTTTTACTACAATGTGGAGTCTTGCGGCTCTCTGCGCCCCGAGACCATCGTCCTCTCAGCCCTCTCTGGATTAAAGAAGAAGCTGAGTGATTTACAGACCCAGTTAAGCCACGAGATCCAGAGTGACGTCCTCACCATAAACTAGCTGCAGCTCACGTGTTTGAGCAAAACAGTTGGATTTCAGGTCTCCTGAGACTTTTTCGCTCCTGGGGACTGGACAGCTGTTGCTCAAGTTTCTTGGCAAGCCTTCAGTACCAATTAGCAGGGCAGCAGCAGGGCGGGGTAGATCCATCCCGGCCTTGCTCAGTTACAGATAACCGGGGGCGCCACTGCCGCAGCAGGCAGGACAGCTTTCCCCTTCATTTAGCATCCCTGGGCCTGCCTGTGGGTCGGCAGTAGTGCTCCCTGAAACACTGCTTCCGCCCTGTCTCCCAGTGTGCCTTGGGGGCCATAGGGCTCCCCTGTTGACCGCCACTGAGCCGGACTCTCATCTTTGGGTTATTTCAGCTCTTTACTTCAAACCCTTTCTGTTCACAAGTTGGAGTGCTCACCGTGTAGGCTTGTGTGTAGGGACTGACTCTGGAATCCTCACTCGGGCTGCTGAGAGTCCTTCCAGTCCCTGCCTCGGCCATCCTATTGGTCCTTCACTCAGATTCTCAAGTGTCCTGAATTTGAGTACCTCTTAAGAGTAGTGTTAGGCCCAGGCTATCCCCTTCTTCCCGCCAGTAAACCTTGTATTTTGTTCTCTACCCGTCAGTTTCAATCTTCACCAACAATGGCCAGATGATTTAATTTGTGTGTGTGGTGAGGGGCAGGGAAGAGGACAAGGACCTTAATGAAGATCTAGTCTTGACCCCTTAGCCCTGTAGGTAGGCGCACACCCAACGCAGTTAATTAGGCAGCCTGGCAGGAGAAGCCTGGAGAAAACCGGAAATCTAGTACAGAAAGGAAGGGTTATTTATTAACTAACAGTAGTTGTCTTTTGAAAGTTTTTATTTTTGGCAATAAAGAGCACAACGTACGTAATCTCCTTCATGCGTCATCGAGCCACGAACCGAGCCAGCCAGCTCCGCCTCCCTCCCCGTGGCCTCTGGGTGCCCTTCTTCAGGCTAGCTTACTCCTGGGGCGGTCATTCCCTGGGTCAGGTTCAGAGCTGAGCGGGCTGTGGCCCCTCCCTGGCTCCAGGGCTCTGTCAGGAGGGGCCTCTTGCTTTACCATCCTCCTGCCACGACTCGAATAGTGGTTATTTACAACAGGGTCTGTTCCCACAGATCAGAGCCCTAAAATATTAAAAACAAAAATAACCCAACACACATACAACCAAACGTTTGATGTGAGTAGAAAGATAGCCCTTCTGCACGGTAGTCAATAAATACCAGCACTAGAAAATCAATTGCTTTAATTGCATTTCAGCAGGGAGCCTCAGCACCAAGTGGGGAGGAGGAAGTGGGGAGGTCTTGTTTCTGAGTCTTTTTGGCCAGAGGGAGGCCGCACGGGGCAGGGAGCACCCTCCATGGGAGCACCGCCCACCTGGTAGTGAGGGGCGGCAGGGTGCTCCCCCCCCCACCCCGCAGTGCTCCTGGGGGCCAGCCTGGCCCCGGAGCAGGAAAGAGCTTGGGTCGGGCCACCCTCCCTGGGCTGAGGTAACCAGCACCCTGCCCCCAGGGCGTCTTCCCAGCCTATGAAGCAGGAAGAGCCTGGGCAGAAACCACTTTAAAACCAGATTTTTCACCTGAGGTGTCAACCAGATGTCACCTCTGTGTAAAACTCCCTAAGTGCAGGGCTGCCGAGTGGCACAGTGTAAGCTCGGATCCTTCCTGTGCCACCAGGCCCAGAGGAACCGAGGAGCCACCTGCCGTCTCCACCCCTGGGCTGTGGGAAAGCCAGCAGCCAGAGCAGGCGCCGGGAATGCAGACTGTCTCCCTCCTCGGGCCCGAAGCAGGAGGGCTGGTACCCCTTGGGGGACAGGATAAACCACCGCCCTCACATTCAGAAACAGCCCTGACTGTGGCTTGGTCATGGGGATAAAAAAATGTGTATGTGGTGGCAGGGAGGGACAGAGGGGGAAATGTTATTAATATAGAATAACATCATAAGCCATATATATTAAAATCATTAACCGTATATAGTCCTATGGTAGCTCCAGCCCCTCACACATGCTCAGGTGGCATGGCCAGCCCTTTGCCTTGGTCCAGTCTCACCCTTGGGGGCAGAGAAGGGACGGCTTGCTCCCTTTCTCTGGGCTTCTGGCCCACAGCCCCTGCAGGCCGTCCACGATACGCTGCAGGCAGCCCCAGCGGTCGTCCAGGCACGCTAGCTCTGCCATCACTGGGAAGGGGCCTTGGCCTCGCTGCTGTCCCCCTGGCTGGGCTTTGGCTTTAGCAGGATGAATCTGTTGAGGAGGTCCGTTTCTGAGCTGGCCTGGGCTGCTGCATACCCCTCACCTGTGGACAGACGCAGGCTGAGGACTTGGGCCCAGGACAGAAGAGCTCTGCCCAGCACGCCTTGTCCCCCACAGAGCCTCCTGGCTGGCGGGGGTGACGCCCAGCAGTGACTCACCGGCGAAGCTGGAGGACTCCACGATGTTCTGGGAACCCGTGATGTGGTGCCAGTAGGCACTGCGGGGCAGCATGGTAGTGGGCGTGCAGGGGTATGAGTAATGTTCTGTGCCCTTGTTCAGCAGCTGTAGGGCAGAGAAGGGTCAGTGGCTCAGCCCAGGGGCGGCCAGCCCAAGACCCTGCCTGCCTTTGTCATACACACGAGCTGGAGACGGCTGGCACTCTCCCGGTCCTCCGACTGCCCACCCACCGCCCCCTACCCTGGACTGAGATGCACGGCCTCACCCTCACGTTCTTCTCCATCTCCAGCAGGACTCGTTTGTGCTGCTCGGCGATGGCCAGGGTGGCACTGTGGACCCGCTGGTAAATCTGTTCCCCTTCCTGTGTCTGGAAGGTGTAGAGCCCTTCTCCAGCGTCACACATCCTGGGGACACAGGGAGCACAGAGAGCAAGGTGGCGGGTGCATCCCACGTGTGTGCACAGGCTCAGTCAGGCTCTCTTTTGGGAACAGGCAGGCCTGTTATCGGAGGGCCTGACCACCCAGCTCAAACATGCTGAACATTTTCCATGTGCCAGCTGGAGGTCTAAATGCTTTACAAGAATTAATCCATTCCGTTTTCTCCGCCACCTGGTCTGTGTTCAATTAGTTTCCTCATTACTACAGTTTTTCTCAAACTGTCTTATAGATGAGAAAACTGAGGCATTCAGAAGCTAAGTAACAGCCAAAGTGGAGTACACAGAACTGGAGCCCAGGCAGGCCGCTCCAGAGTTCAAGCTATACCCAGTCCTCACCATCATCACCCAGTGTATGAGGCCAGGCACTTTTATCATCCCATACGACAGATAAGAAAACTGAGACGCAGGTCTGCCATCACAGAGCTGGTCAGTGCCAGTGCCAGCATCTGATCTGAGCCTTGGACATACTTGCTGGGAGCCTCAATTTCTTCATCTGTAAAATGGGAATATTATGTTCCCCTTCAGCATGCTATGCTGATAAAATGAGCTTTCAGCACAGGGCCCGACACAAGTGAATGGCAGCCACCATTGAGACCATGGCTGGAGGGTGGGGAGGCGAGTGGGTCCTACCGGCCAGCCTCAAAGGTGAAGCGGGTGGCGTCCCGGCCGTAGCGGCGCAGTGAGCAGAGGGGCCACGAGACGAGCTTCACGCGGGGGTTGTGTATGTCCCAGAGGTAGATGTTCTCGTGGGTGATCTGCAGCTTGCACTCGCCGTACACGTCCAGGTTGGGACAGGGCAGCAGGAAGACGTTGAAGCGATCTGGGAGGGGAGAGGACAAGAGGGCCTGGAGCTTTCGGGGGGTGGGGGGGAGGTACCCCCACCCCCACCCTGTGCCAGCACCAGGCCTCACCTGTCTGCTCACACTGCACTCCTGGGGCCAGGAGGTCTGGCTCTCCCAGACTGATGTCGTTGAGCCTTGACCCCAGACACTCCACAGAGAGTGTCTTGTACCACTCCTCTGCCTCCAGCTCTGGAGAAAACAGTATCTCATCATGCTGCCAGCTCAGGGTCCCTCGGCAGCCCACCCCACCTGCTTCAGCCAGAGTAGTCCCCGCATGCAAGGCAGAGAGGGCGAGGCCAGTGGACTCTGCCTGCCTGCCCACCTCATCCTGGGGCGCGGCTCCCTCAAAGGCGCCCTCCTCCCCCACACCTCCCACCCCATCAGGAGGGCTAGCCTGGCTCTGCCCCCTACCAACTGGACCTTGACCAGCACACCGCCTGCAGCCCCATCCCCTCACCTGAGTCGCAGGTGAAGGTCCGTGCTGAGTCGTCCGTGAATATGATGGCCACTGCCTGCCTCTTGGTCTCCTTGGGGAGCCGTGTGACACATTTGACGTTGCTGATCTCTGTCACCTGGCACAGCATCCACAAGGGACTCAGCCAGGGCGAAGCACCTCCCTCTGCATCCCCCACAGCTCTGCCACCCCCAGGAGGGTCCTGTTGACCCTCAGGACTCTGAACAAATCACTGCTTACAGGTTGGGGAGCTAGGGCCCAGGCCCCCTAACCTTGGGGCAGCCTCGGAGGCACACGGACTTCTCGTCTGGATACTTCTCCAGCCGCTGGGGCCCCTTGCTGGAAGACTTCCGGAACACCAGCCAGCACCTCCGGTAGATCTGTGGGGCGAGATGGCAGGCGGATGGACCCTGGACCACTCCCAACACAGCCAAAGTGACCCTGCAGTATTCCCTGCCTACCACGAGGAGCAGTGCCACATAGCCTCCTAGGGGGCTCAGGCCCAGGAGACCTGGGACAGCGAACACCAGTGTGACACCCCACCCTGGGGAAGAGACCCCTCCCCAAATTGAAAAGGCAGTCATTTCTTGGCTGGCTCCATAAAAGGTGCTCCTGAGTTACTGTTTACTATGAGTTCAGCTCTGGGTCTAATCTAAGTAGCCAACATTTATTGAGTGCTTCCTATTTGTGCTTTTTGTTATTAGCACTCCTCACATTTAATCTCAGGGTCACTCTTGAGGTCAGTTCTATTATCATCTCCACTTTACAGATGCAATCTGAGGCACCCAAGAATTGAGTAACAGCTTTATGAATGGTAGAGCTGGTATTTAAAACGGGCTGCCTGAAACCACTGCGCTAAGGTTCTGCCCAGGAGCACCAGCCAGGACAGAGGCAATGTCATGCGGACAGCAATCAGGCCTGAGTCCACTCCGAGCCTGCACATCACCACAGCCCTTGTTCTTAGAGCCAGGGGACAGCTCTTGATGTAGGTAACACCCCCTCTTGCCTCTACAACCTCTTCATTCACTGACTATCCTGGGAATAAAGGGAACCAGGGTTAGTTTCCTGCTCCAGCTGGTAAACCAGACGCTCTCAGAGGTCAAGGAGCAGAGCCAGGAACCTGGAATCACCCCAGAGCACAGTGCTTTCCCCAGTAAAGTTCATCACTCCTTGTCCCAACCACTGCCAATGACCCTTGCCTAAATCTACCTAAATTCTCTATAGCTTCCCGGACTCCATCCGAGGGGCAAGGGAGCCAGGGAGTGGGGAGTCAACCACTCTCCAGGGCTACAGGGGCAAACTGGCTGGTCAGACCCCTGCCACACTGGTGGCCCTCACCACTTGCCACTAGACTCTTCCTCCTATGGCTCTTTTCCAGCCCCAAGTCCGGCTGGGATGTACCTACTCTTTCAGAAAGCACTCCAGAAGGCTGGCAGCGCCATTCCCCGAGGATCTCCAGTGCTCCTCTCACTGGCAAACAGTGTGGAGACGGGGCCCTCCACTTTGCCCTGCTACGTGGGCACCAGGTCAGGGCAGGCAGGTTCCCAGGGTGCAGTGGGCCAAGGCGGTCTCCATCCTGAGAAGCTACTCACACCCGGCTATTTCTGGCTCCAGAGACTCAGAGACGTGTCTGTCCCTGCCCCCCTGACCCTGACTCAGCCCTCGGCCTGTCCAGATAAACCCCAGCTGGCCTCAGCTCTAAGCTGAGCAGCTCTTTTAGGGAGAGACTGTATTTTATTCTCAGAATCCGCACATCCCAGTAGCCTCATGAACAGAGCCTGCTGAACAAGTGAATGATCATGTGTAGGGAGCGTGAATGGATGGATGAATGAATGAATGCATGAATGCTGCCAACCCAGTTATGCCCTGCCAGGCTGGGCTCCGTGCAGCCTGCAGGGGCAGAAGGCCTGGGGGCCTGAGCACTCTGGTTGCCTGGTTACAAGATACACACACACATGCACGCACACACACACTCGCACGAACACAGAGCCCCAGGGAGCCACTGTGCTCAAGAGCCCTCCTTCCCCACTTCTCACAGGTCTTTGATCAGCGCTTCAGAAACGCTCTGCCACAGCTCTGCCTTGGGAGGAAAGCCCTGGCAGGTAGGAGGGCCCGCTCCTGATCTCTTCCAGCCCTTCCCCCTCACCTCTGTGGGCTGAGACAAGAATGGCCGGGTGGCCCCAGCCCCTCAGGGCAGATCTGCAGGGGGAAGTAGAGTTCCCTGAGTGGGGGTGACTCCAGACGGGGCCTAGCCACACCCCGGCTCCTAAACCCTGCCCTTGACAGTGCCCACCGTAGGTTCCTGGGCCTCCCCCTGAAACAGGCCGGGTTCTGAGCCCAAGTGGCTTGGCTTCCTGGGAAAGTCTGCTCTGGACAGGCCCTCAGCCCGGCTGGCCCCCGGAGACCTGAAGGACCTGACAGGTCTGGGCCCTGGGGAAGGAGGAGCCGCACCAGAAGCTGGGCCCCCGCCCCCTGCCTCCCCACCTCAGCCTTAGCTTTGCTCCTCGTTCTGTGCTCCAAGTGGGCTCCATCCTTCTCTCGGGGCAAGAACACAGTGGCTGATGGCCACCAGGGCCAAGGCTGGGACACAGTCCAAATCCAGGTAAGACCCCAGCATGCCCACCAGCTAAGTGGCTGCCCCCTGCCTGGACAGAAGAGCCCCCAACAGGGGTCTGGGGCTGGGAGCCACAGGAGTGGAAGGGGGCTCAAGAACCACCCTGCTCCAAGGCCAGTCCTGTTCTGTCTGGTACCCCTGTCTCACACAGCTGCCCCTGAGTATCAGAGGCCAGCTCCTCTGCCAGCCCACTCTGCTGAGCCAGGAAGCCTTGCGAGTCAGATCGCACCCCCACTCCCACCAAGGCCATGGGGGAGGGGAGGGAAGGGCCGGCAGGGGGCCCAGGTAAACACAAGACACAGGCGCCAGGGTTTCCTTCTTACTGGGGAGACCCCTCAATGGAGAGAGCAGGGAGGGTCAGGGAATAAAGGCAGCTCTCGGGACAACCTCACCAAGATTATTAAGTTGGTCCCTGGGGCCCCTGCTCATGCCTTTTGGGGGGGTTTCACCAGCAGGGGGTGGGAGAGGGTGCACACCCAGAAAAGGTGCATCTAAGGCCTCATCTCCATAGGCCCTCCAAGACCCCAGCCCCCTCCAAAACCGGGGAGGAAAGCAGCCGGTCCCAGTGCCACGGGCCATCCCACCCAGGTTCTCATTCATAAGCCACATAAATGCCAGCTTCTGTGCCCCTCGTACCGCCGACCTACCCCCAACCACCAACCACTCTCCTTGGCCAATACTTTGTTAACCATAGAAGCAACAACCAAAGATAAAACAAATAAATGCCTGTACACAGCAAGCCTCGGGAAGCAGGGGAGATGAGGTACTTTAAAGAAAAGAGGCCAGGAGAGGGGAGGGGGAGATGAGTAGGTGATGGCAAGGGGAAGTGACAAGCTGGTCTCAGCTCAGATACAGCCCGGCATTTCCAGCCGATGCCCGGGCGACAACTTCAACAATAGCAGGGGAGCCGCCTGCCCATCGGCCACCACCGCTGGCCCAGCCACCAGGACTCCAGCCAGCCGGGCTGGGGCGGGGGCTGCGGTGGGCAGAGCCGGGCCCAGGCACATGCCAGGCAGCCCGCCGGCCAGAAACCTCGAGAGACCAGCAATGCACGATGGCCAGCCGGAGCCGGCGGGTGGCCGCACACCCCCGACATCCCAGATGCCAGACCGCGGGCCCCTTGGAAGGTGGCTCACCCCGAGCTTCCTGCTTTTCATCTTCACATAGCCTTGCTTGACAATGTCGTTGAAATTGGTCGCCATGGTTTCTCCGCCGTGTCTTTGAGGTTCGTCTCTCTCGGGCGCCGAGGGGAGGGATGCCCAGGTGGCCTCGGTTTCCCCACTCCTCCGACGGGGCTGCTGCGGAGCTGCTCCTCACCTCGCCCGCCTCAGCATTGTTCTAGCAGCTCCTTCGCCCGGCGCCTGCTGGAAATAAAAATGACAGGGAGATTAGACAGTGACATCTTTCTCTTCCCCTGGCTGTCTCGCTCTTTTTTCCCTTCCTCTACCCACACTCGTCCCCTCCCTTCCTCCCTCAGCCCGCCCTTCTTCCTTCCCTTCCCTCCCCACCCCAGGATGGCAGAACCATTCAGGAAAACCCGAGGTGGAGGCCTCTACGAGGAAAATGGTCTAGCCCAGTCCCCTCCCTCACACGGTTAACTCCTTCCTGGGAGGACGGCTCCGGCTCCTGCTGCAGCTGAGGGGCAGGCCTCCAGCAAGCCCCCCTCCTGCGCAGGCACCTCCCTGCAGGAAGCCTTCCAGGAGATGGGGCTCCTGGGAGATGACACAGATTCTGGGACCATGCTCCCCGAGGTTAGATGATCCACCCCTTAGGTCTCAGCAGACAGCGTCCCCCCCCACCCCCACCTCCCGACCCCAGGCCCTCTGTCCCACTTGGTTCTATACCTGGATCTCCCCAGCTCCAGGCAAGAGTCTGAGAACCGTCCCCTCAAACCCTGCTCTCCCCGCCCCCTGGAACTCTTCAGCAGCCCATCTGGGTGCTGCTTCCTGGGTGGGAGGGCAGAGTCCAGTGGGGCGGGCCTGCAGATAAGCCTGAGGAATGTGCTGGGCAGGCTGCTGGTGGCCACTGTCGAAGCCGTTGCCTCACCCTGGCGCTGGGAAGGCCAGGCTGGTCTGTGAGGGCACTGGGTCTGGACAGGACTCTCGGTGTCCCGTGTCCTGGGCCCGGGCAGGAGTTAATTACATGGAGAACTAGCAAACACCTGGGCTGGGAGCAGAGGACACAGCGGGACCACACTGAGGGGGACCAAGGGGCAGTCCTTATGCAGCGGGGAAAGGGGTGCCACCAGGGGCTCTTGGAATCAGGCGGGTCGGCAGATAACAAAGACTCAGACTTGGCGGAGGGAGGTGTCTCAGTGATGACCCAGCCCTCCATTTCAGGTCATTTAAGTAAGCTGCCCAGAGAGGAGAGGCGGCATGGCCAAGGTCACATAGCAAGTCCAGGCTTCAGCCAGAGACAAATAAGTTCCGGAGTGGGTGATGGAGGCGGGCCTGGGGATGCGATGGATGCTCTGCCACCTGGCTCTGGCCACTCACCACCGCCTTATCCTTCTCTGCCACCCAGGTTCGGGGGGCAGGGCTGTGTCTGCGATATGGCCCCCCGCGTCTCCAGGATCACTGAATGAGAATGTGGTAGCACTGCTGGGGTCAGCTGGGCATCTGTGCTGCCAGGACAGGACCCTGGGGCAAGCATCCTGCTGGAGCTGCCAGCAGCTTGGCATTAATCAATCTTCCAGAGCCCTGTCTGTCGAGTCCCTAACAAGGAACAGATGTGACTACCCCAGTGCGCACATGCAAACAGGCGAAGGAACACAGAGGGTAGTGCTCTCTGTGCCCCGTGTACCCCGAGAGCCTCTTCAGCACCCCTCAGCGGCCTCCGTGCCCATCCATGCCCTCTCTCCCAGCTCCCTGGGGGCCAAGACCCTGCCTCACCCAAGTGATCTGTTTTCCTCCTATAAGGTTGACTGTGGGGTCCCTCCCTGGTACTGACCCCCCCAACAGCCTTGCCAGACCCAGGCACTGGCCCTCAGAGATGAGCAAGCTTTCCCAGCTCTGTCTCCACCATCTGGGGCTTACTTGGCCCCCCAGCAAGGACCAGCTCTGTAAAAGTCCCCTCTGAGATGACGGCCAGCCGGCCACTGAGGGTCCATAGCAAGGAAGGCCTCTTTCAGAACACAATGACTAGCACGCACGGGGCCCCTGGGTTCATCCAGGGCAGCTCGGGACGTGGCCCGGCCAGGAACATGCATTCAACGGCAAGAGGTCCTAGGCAAGCCGCTTAACATCTCAGTGCCTGAATTTCCCCATCAGTAAAATTAAAAAAAAAAAAGGAAGATAAATCAGCCCATTTTAAATGAGGAAATGAATTCTTGGGGCACCTGCCTGACCACACGGGACCAAGAGCGTCTGCCTTGAAAACCCAAAGGGCTGTTTGTATTTCGAGAGCTGCTGCCCAGCCAAAGGCTGTGAGATCACCCTAACCCAGGCTTCCACCTGCCCAACACAGGCCTGCTCCTTCCTGCCTCTCCCGCTTACCTTCCCTGCCGTACCCCTTGAGTGACTGCAGCCGCCAAGCTCTCGGGAGTACCCCTGGCACGTCTGTCCAGAGGTCCACACCCCACCCTAGGCCCCAGGCCCTAGAAATAAACCAGCGGGAAGAGTAACCTTCCAGGGAGAGCCTGGGTGGCAAGGTGCCTGGCAGCTCACACTGGCCTGGAGTCACAGGTGGTGCTGACCTTACTCGGTTCCTAATAAATATGCAAGAGCAAGACCCAAGCTGGGGCCCAGAGTGGTACAGCACAGGGGAGCTGAGGAGGCGGGGAGAGAGGGGAAGGGTCAATAGGTAGACTTACACATTTGATGGGCAATGGGATCAAGGTGAGGGGGGTACGCAGAACCAATCAATCCCCCAAAGGACATGGCCCCTGGCTGAGACTGTGCAGACCCAATCAGGCATCAAGAGATGGCGGGCAGCTGAGCACAGCAGGCAGGAACCAGGAAGGCGCCCCCCACAGCCCCCCTCACCTTGCCGCACCTGGGGCCACTTTCCCCATCACTCCTGAAGCCCCAGCAGCTCTGGCACTCACAAGCCTGCAGCAGGGAAAGCTGCCCCGCTAACTGTGGTCTCAGGTGTGTAAGGTCAGCTCTGAGCACTCTTGAGAGGCTAACAGGGTGTCCAGCAGCCCCCTCAACAAAGATCCTCAATGGGGGAGGAGTAAGGACCCCCATTCCTCCTCCCAGCCTAGCGTCAATGTGGTTGCTCAGCCACAAATGGTACCTGCCCCCGACCAGGACACCACCGGCTCCTCCAGAGAGAGCTGGACTCTGAAATGTATCACCTCTCTCAGAAAGAGCAGGCGTCCTGTGCGGAGCGGGTAGGAGACTCCCTGGTGCCCAGCAGAGGGGTGGGGTGGGGCCACTGCCCACCTGTCCCGTGGGACAGCAGTCTAAGCACTCCCTCCCTGCACCCAGATTCTGCCTGGAGGCTTGGCTCCAGAACAAACGCTACTTGCTGCTGCTAGCAACCAATGGCTGAGCCTGAGCGGCTGTCAGCCTGGCTGGGCCTCCCCACCCCGAGACAGATCAGATCTTATCAGGGCTTGGGGACAGCCCTGCCTGGACCCTGGCTCACTGACGGCTCGCTGTCTCCACTCGCTGGCAAAGATCCTATCGACCGGATTCTCTCCAGCACCAGGGACATTTCCCATCCCCCACCCCCACCCGGTCCTCTCTACCCCCCTGTGATGGCTATCAGGGGCCAGGAGGAGGTCCTCCCTTCCCCGGAGGGCCCCACCCCTGACCTCCTCCACCCCTGCAAATCCTCACAAGCAACCACCACCTGAAACACCGCAGGTCTGAAAGTGGGTGGCAAAGTCAGATCCAAAACCAATTGGGAAGAGAAGACTGGCAGAAGAAGACATCAGAACAGTCACTGTCTTCTGGGCCCTCCAGCCAGGAAGGTGGTGCTATGTCTCCAGACCACTGGTCTCCCTCCCGTCCCCCGGCCACCCCTCATCTCCCCCCTGCCAGGAGGCTGGGGAGGGGGCATGTTCCTCAACATGCCTAACTCCTGCCCACGCAGGATCACTGCACTTGCTGTTCCCTGCCTGTACAACACCATTCCCTCAGATGGTCCAAGGTTCATTCTACTGCATCAGTTTAAAGACTGTCACTTTAGAGAGGCCTTCCCTGACCACCCTGACCAAAGGGAGCCCCCAGTCAGCCTCTACCACCACACCCAGTTTCCACTGTCCCCACATAGGATTTACCTCTTCATCTGCTGGTTTGCTACTTGGCCACTATCTCCAACAACATCCTAGAATGTCAGCTCCCTGATGGCTAAGCCTCCTCTAATTAACAGCTCCATCCTAGCACCCAGAATGGTGCCCAGTGCAGAGTGTTGTTTAGTCACTCAGACATGTCCCACTCTTTCGACCTCATGGACTGTAGCCCACTGGGCTCCTCTGTCCATGGGATTTCCCAGGCAAGAATGCCGGAGTGGGTAGCCATTCCCTTTTCCAGGGAAACTTCCCAACCCAGGGATCAAACCCACATCTCCTGCATTGCAGGTGGATTCTTTACTGCTGAGTACAGAGTAGGTACTCAGTACACGGGGGCCGAAAACGTAATTATCTCCAGGATTTGTTTTGTCCTCTTCATCCTTTCTCCCACCACCACCACCAATAGCCACCTAGTCAGACCCAGCTCAGCTTCCAAAGACACGTGGGCAGCGGTGGTTTCCCATTTCCCTGGGCCCCGGACCCACAGTTTGGTTCAGAGCTGACCCGGGGGAGGCAGTACTACTGACCCTGTGTCCGGGCCTGGCTGGGTGGCCCCACCTCGGCCCTGGTTGTTGGGAGACATCATGCCCAGCTCTGCTGCCCTGCCTGGGAGAGAGAGCTAGAAGGAGCCACTGCCCAGGCTCAGAAGGGCAGGCAACTGGGGGCACAGCTCCTGAGACCCATCCCAGCTGGGGGACAGAAATGGCCTGCACTGGAGCCACATCTCTTGAAAGGGGCAAGAAGGCACTCTGCACTAAATAAGCCCAGCCTCAAATCGCTACTGTGGATCCTGCCCACCCATCACTGCCCTTGAGTCGCAGACCCCTACACCCGAAACCCTCCATCTGAGTCTCCTGGCAGCAGCCACGCAGCCACGGCTTGGGACATGGCCCAGGTGCCGGCCTCCGCTCCTACCCCTATGCAGTGACAGCAAGCATTTAACGGAAAGCCGGACTTTGGGAGTCCTGGGGGAGAGAGTGAACAGGACCCCAGGAACAGGCAGAAAGAATCAACGAAGGCACAGCTGGCTGAAAGTTTAAGCTGCTGGGCAGGAATCATCTGCAGGTGGGGTGGATGGTGGGGGCAGTTGGAGAGTCTCTAGGAATTTAGGGGCGGGGGGACTGAGAGAGTAGGAGGCCATGAGAGCAGAAAGGGTGCGAGGAGGCACGCTATGATGAGCTGAGCTGTGCCCCTTCGAGATGGCAGGGCCAGCGACCACAAGGGCCTGGGCCCCTCTGATGGGTAGTGTGGGGTAGGTGCGGGGTAGGTGTGAGGACCCCTGACCTGGGGTCCCCTGGAGAAGAGAGCTGGGGGTAGGTGGGGCCCAGGGGTAGTTCCGGGGGCAGGAATTGGCTTTTGGAAGTGGACTCCTGAGGACCCCCACAGGGTAGGAAAGTCCCACGGGCTTGGAGAGTCCTCACGGGGGGAGTCGCCGAGGGTCTGGAGGGCTCCTGCGCGGCCTGAGGCCCCCCTCCCCGCCTCGCGCCCGCCTAGTTACCTGGGCGCTGCGGCCCCTGCCGGGGGCGCTGGCTCAGAGGACGGCGGGCCAGGCTCATGCCCGCGTCATGGCGTGGCCGGTGGGGGCGGCGGGGCGGCGGGGCAGCGGCGGCGCCGGGCTCCGGGCGGGGACGGTGAGGGAGGCGCGGCCGTCCAGCTTGGCTCCGGCTGCGACTCCGCGGAGCCGCCCGCCGCCCGGCTCAGCCTCGCCGCTCGGCTCCGCCCCGTCCCCCCCTGGCGGCCCGCCCCCGCCGTATTCCTCCGAGCTGAGGGACACCAACTTCTGCCCTGGCTTCCCTGCCCTCCCCGCCTCCTCCCACCTCCACCCCCGCCGCCATTCCCAGCTTGCCTCCGCGGGCCCCATCAGGTGGCCTTCCTCACTCCCGGCTCAGCCTCACCTTCCTTTCCTGAGCCCCGAGTCGTAGTCTCACATCGCCTCTCAGCCCCTGAAATCTGAACTCCACATCAGCTCCCAGTCCCCAAATCTCTACCACCCTCTCTCCATTTCTATAGGAATCATACACACATCCCTTGCTCCCCTATCTCCTAGAGGACTCCTTCTTAGTCTAGCCTTCTCAGTCTAGAGGGCTTCTCAGTCTAGCCTTCCTGAGGACCCCCACCCCCAGGGACCCCCTATCGCCCCTCTCCAGCACCCCCCACCCTGCACAATCGAGTAGTTGCATCAGCGCCTCTCTCCCAGATGGTCAGCTCCCCTAGCAGTAGGCCAGCCTCGCCTTCCTCCCCCCCACCCCGCCGCCTCCTCACCACCCTCACATCACCCAGTTACTCCCATCCTGCAACCCCCTGAGACTTTTCCAAATCCCGTGGCCCACCATCACCCCACCCCCAGCATTCACCTCACAGCTCATAAGTCTTATCACTGCCCTGTTGGAGTCACAAACCACAGGCCTCCATAAGCTGTGCCAGGCAACCATGCGGAGGTCGCCTCGGGCCTCCCCACGGGTGGGACTCTGTCAACCCTCTGGTTTTCTGGTCTGCACCCTTTAACACCAGTGGTTTGCAGAGTGAAGGGTCAGCATCAGCATCACTTTGAAACTTGTTAGAAAAGCAATTCCCTACCCCAGCCCAGACCTTTGAAATCAGGATCTCTAGGCTTAGTGCCCAGAAATCTGCGTTTTAACAAGCCCCTAGGTGACTCTGATGCACGTTAAACACTGCTTTATACCAAGTACACAGAACAAAACAAGAGGCCACACCTGAACAGCTGAAATCCTTAAACATTAAAATGCTTCCCAGTCTAACCCTTGACCAGGTTTTCTCTGAGCGGGGAGCCCAAGGCACTGAACGTCCAAGAACCACAGCACTCACTCATGGATCCCATGCCCCTGCCTTCTAATCACTGGGCCTCAGTCTAAATCTGGCCCACGGGACTTCTTAGGGGGCTGCTTCCCTTCCCCTGAATACTTCCTAGGGTGGTCATTGTCATGCCAGTGGCCACCAAGGGGGCCCCAAGGGCTCCTAGCAGCCTCCACCCTGGTCCTGAGCTAACCAGTCCCACGCTGCCAGGGGGAGGAGGGGACCACGCTCATCTTGTCCTGGCCGGCTAAGCTGGCCTGGATCTTGACCTCCTGACCTCCCTATGCATCTTTCAAACTTGACCCCACCTGCTTTGCTTCAAACCACAGCTCGTAAAGCTTCCAGCACTTGATTCATCACAGCAAACTCTTTTTACCACCAGTAACCTTTGGAGGGGCCTTCCCTGGTTGCTCAGTGGTTAAGAACCTGCCAATGTAAGAGATGCCGGTTCCACCCCTGGGTTGGAAGATCCCCTGGAGAAGGAAATGGCAACCCATTCCAGTATTCTTGCCTGGGAAATTCCATGGACAGAGGAGACTGGAGGAGTCCATGGGGTCACAAGAGTCAAATACAACTGAGCGAGTAAACAACAAAAAACTTTGGAGGAGTTTTGGTCAACAATAACCACCAAGAGAGTTTTCATAATAAAAAACTTTTCTAGAGTAGTGTTTCTCAAACTTCTTCCTTCTCTCAATCTCTTAATTTTTCCCCAATCCACTCTCTGTCTGCAGTACTGTCACCTAATTTTTTTTTAAATAAACTTTTTTCTTTTGAGATATTTGAAGATTCACATGCAGTTATAAATTATGGAGAGAATCCATGTGCCTTTACCTAGTTTCATGATATCTTGCAAAACTGAGAACAGTATCACAACTAGCATGTTCAAGGTACAGAACATTTCCATCACACAAGATCCCCCCTGTTGGACTTTTATAGCCATATCCACTTCCCTTCCCACCTTACCCCCTTTAACTCTGGCAACCACTATTTCTATACTTTGGTCCTTTCCAGAATGTTGTAAAGTCAGAATTGTAAGTATGTAATCTTTGGGGACTGGCTTCTTTTTTTTTTTTTCTAAACTCAATGTAATTCTTTGGGGAAACATCCAGGCTGTTTCCTGCATTAGTACTTTGTCTTTTTCATTGCCAAGTAATAGCCCACGGTATGGATGTGTTACAGTTCGTTTCTTTGCACACCCATTGAAGGATGTCTGCTCCAGTTTTTGACTGTGATGAATAAAGCTGCTATAATCATTCATGTATATGTTTTTGTATGAATATAAATCTTTACTGCTCTGGGACAAATGCCTAGGAGCACAACTGCTGGGTCTTATGTTTTCCAGAGTGGCTGCACCATTTTACATCCCCACTAGCAATGTATAATTTGATGACCTTATCTCTTCACATCCTTACCAGCATTTGTTGTTATCACTTGTTTCCTTTTCAAGTCATTCTGATAAGTGTATAGGGATATCTTGTTGTGGTTTTAATTTGCATTTCTCTACTGACTAATGTTGAAAATATTTTCATGTGCTTATTTGCCATCTGTGTATCTTCTTCAGTGAAATCTTCCTTCATGTCTTTCACCCATGTTCTAATTTGAAAATTTGCTTTTTTAATGTTGAGCTCTGAGAGTTCTTTATATATTCTAGATACCAGTCCTTGTCCACATTTTGTAAATATGTGTCTACAAGTATTTTCTCCCAGTCTGTAGCTTGTCTTTTCATCCACTTAAAACGGTCTTTCACAAAGTAAAATTTAATTTCAATGATGTCCAAATTATCAGCTTTTCCTTTTATAAATTGTGCTTTCAGTGCCAAGTCAAAGAACTTTTCCCTTAGCCCTTGATCATAAAGAATTTTTCCTATGTTTTACTCTAAAAGTTACATCATTTTATGTTTTACCTTTAAGTCTATGATCCATTTTGAGTTAAATTTTGTAGAACATATGAGACTTGGGTTGATGTGGTGTTTCCCCACTCGCTTTGACCCATGGATGTTCAGTTGTTCCAGTACCATTTGTTGAAAAGTCTCCTTCTCTTTATGCCATTGAATTCTTTTTACAACTTTATAAAAAATCAGTTGGATCCATTGTGAGGTCTCTGTTCTGTTGATTTATGTGTCTATTTCTTGGCTAATAGCACACAGGCTTGATTACTGAAGCTACACAATAAGTCTTGAGAATCAGGTAAACTGAGTCCTTTCACTTTATTCTTTTTGAAAACTGTTTTAGCTATTTTATCTCCTTTGCCTTTATATATATATACATTTTAGAATAATCTTATCTGTGAAAGTGAAAGCATTAGTTGCTCAGTCGTGTCCGACTCTTTGTGACCCCATGGACTGTAGCCCCATAGGCTCCTCTGTTCATGGGATTTCCCAGGCAAGAATACTGGAGTGGGTAGTTGTTCCCTTCTCCAGGGAATCTTCCCGACCCAGAGATTGAACCTGGATCTCCTGCACTGGCAGACAGATTCTCTACTATCTGAGCCACCCAGGGAAGGTCAATCTTGTATATAGCTGCAGAAAATCTTGACTCTGATAGAAATTGCCTTCAAACTTGCTGATCAGTTTGGGGAGAGCTGGCATTTTTACTATGTTGAGTCTTCCAATCCATATTTAAAATGTACAGTGTGGGACTTCCTTGGTGGTTCAGTGGGTAGGAGTCTGCCTGCCAATGCAGGGGACACAGCTTAGATCCCTGGTTGGGGAGGATCCCTGGTTGGGGAGGATCCCACGTGCCACATGGAGCTACTAAGCCCTTGTGCCGCAACAATTGAGCCTGTGCCCTGGAGCCCGTGCTCTGCAACAAGAGAAGACACCGCAGTAAAAAGCCCGCGCACAACAGCTAGATAGCAGGCCTGCTTGGCACAAGGAGAGAAAAGCCCATGCAGCAAAGAAGACCCAGCACAGCCCAAAATAAATAAACAACACAATTATTTTAAAAACGTACGGTGTGACAAGGGTTTATGTAGGTACACCTATCAGTACAACCCTGATAGTGAACATCCTCATCATTCCACAGTTCCTTCCTTCCCTCTCATGTCTCCTTTACCCCTCCCCCACCCTCATCAGTCCCTGGACAATCATTGCTTTGATTTCTTTCACTATATATTAGTTTGCATTTTTTACTAATTGTACAGATAAATACATACAGTGAAATGCAGCAACAATTAAAACAAAGAAATATTCTATATGCAACAACATGGATGAATCTCAAAATAATTACACTGAGTGAAAATGAATTAAGGAGTACATATTATGTGATCTCATACACATACACTTCCCCCACAATATAACATATTTTATACATACATATACACTATATCTTAAAGCATGGAACTATTTCATTCATGTGCTACCTAAAGTCAAGTATGCATAAAACACTACTCTGAAAAATCTTCCTAAGAGCCAGTTTCCAAATTTGAACTCAGAGGTTGCCCACTGTATGTCTTCATTCAACTCCTGGGTATAATTGGGGATAGGGGAAGTTAGGGCTTTCCTGGTAGCTCAGCTGGCAAAGAATTCGCCTGCAATGCAGGAGAGCCCGGTTCGATTCCTGGGTTGGGAAGCTCCCCTGGAGAAGGGGTAGGCTACCTACTCTAGTATTCTTGGGCTTCCCTGGTGGCTCAGATGGGAAAGAATCTGCCTGCAATTCGGGAGACCTGGGCTTGATCCCTGGGTTGGGAAGATCCCCTGGAGGAGGGCATGTCAACCCACTCCAGTATTCTTGCCTGGAGAATCCCATGGACAGAGGAGCCTGGTGGACTATAGTCCACCAGGGTTGCAAAGAGTCAGACACAACTGAGCGACTAAGAACAGCACAGCACAGGGGAGGTTAAGGTGCTGTGGATTACCAGGAAACCTTCAGTGGAGACCAGAGATGTCTGTCTGTGAGGCCACCGGCAAATTATTTCCCCTCCCAGAACCTCAATACCCTCATTTTATTTATTTATTTGGCTGCACCAGGTCTTAGTTGCAGCATGTGGGATCTAGTTCCCCTACCAGGGATTGAACCTGGGCCCCCTGCATTGGGAGTGCAGAGTCTTAGCCACTGGACCACCAGAGGAATCCCACCACTCGCCTTTTAAAATCATGAGTGGGACAAGG